AAAACTACATAAATTGTTTTTAAAGCTTAAATTTTTTGGCAAGCAACCAACAATAAATAGTTAATTTGTATAATATGATGTGTGTTTTTGCTCAAATTTTGATTAATTTCTTTTCCTCGATTTGATGAAATAGTTTTGTCTCTTACCAAAATAAATAGTAATATAACAAAACTGATTAGCTATCCCAGAAGCAAAATCAACAGTTTAGACAATGAAGTTGAGTCTGCGATTAATTGGTCAATTGTTTGAATCGATTCACAGCCCTAGTTTTTATAGATCTTCTGTTAATCACTGATCTGGAAAGGGGCTGATGGATCAGGGATGTTCAAACTGTCCTTTTTGGTATTTATATGGAAAAAGTACTTAAGTGGGAAATCCTCATCTCTATCTACTGGTTAGCATAGGATAATGTACGTACATTTTTATTTATCCATAAATAGCTAATTTGAGTAATGTATCACTTAAATGACTGTTGTACTAATTTAATTAGATGATTTCAACATTTATCAGTGTTTTAGAGTGACAGAAAATTCAGCAACATGGGATGTTTTATGGATAAAGACTAGTAAAGTACAATTATCAACATATGTTCAGGCACAAAAGTCAACAAAGAGCTATTGGTGATGGTAAACTGTAATGTCCATGAAGCTGTGCTTTATGTCATACAGTGTACGGGCTATTAAGTGACTGGATGTCGGGTTCTGATTGGGCCTTGCTGTGCAGGTACTGGTGTGGCACACCCGGACTGAGAAGCCAAAGATGAAGCGTGAGGAGGCGCTGCAGGCTCAGGGGCTGGGCTCTGACTCAAAGGTGGAAGTGTGAAGCAAGGTGCCCAAAGAGTGGATTAGCATAACCTCAACCTATCCAGGACTGGTTCCATGCACACTTGACCTGCCCAAGATTGCCTGGGACAAGCCTGGTTGAGATGTGAGTGCTGAACTCACGAAAGGGAAGGTTTGTGATTGGATGGCTTATCTCTGGGGATGTTGCAAGAACACACCCACACCTAGAAAGGAGTTTACCTCATAAAAACAACCTCTCTCGCCTGTTAGATTCCCTTTGCACATCCTTAAAGCTCATTCAGACAACAGGGTCAAGGAGGTGGGGACTGCAGACTCCTAGTGGAAAGGAAGAAAGAGGTTAAGAGGAACATATAGCAGCCATATAGCTATTTATAGAGGTTACAGCATAGAGGTCAGGGACAGAGGGCTTGGAAGGGAGGAAGGCTAGGACAAGCAACGTACTTGAAAAGTAAACATTGTTGAAGTAGATGTTTCTTCATTCTTATCCGCCTCTCTCCTTTGAAACATGCCTCAGCTAACTGTCCCAGTAGAATAATCTAGAAACAGCTTTGTACATAGTGTAAAACAATGGGAGAATAAAACTATTTAATGACAAAATGTAACTGCTGGATGTGTACCTGCCTTAATGTATATTCACCTGTGTTTGCATGTGTGTATGTGGTTCTTCGGGTAGTGTTTGATGCTTAGGTTTGAATGTCAGTATATTATGCATGTTTTGTGCTTTTTGTAATTCATCCCTGTTCCATAGTTAAACTAATAAAACTCTTCCACAGCTAACACTGTGCCTTAATCATTACCAAAACCACCTACAATGTAAGCAAGCTAAAGAAAGACTATCAAAAACATAAAGCAGTGAAATAAATGAATAGATAAAGGATTATTATGCAGGGTGAAGGTCCAAAGTGAACTGGAAAAGTGGCTGGAAGAATAGAAAAATATTAAAAATATTAAATGTTAAAATATTACATGGTCCAATTGTTAATTATTAAGAAGATCGCAATTCTTACAGTTTTTATTGGGGGTATTATACATAAACAATGAAAATTATCAAAAAAATATGACCAGAAACTATAAAATATTACAAACTTAAAAAGAAATTAAATAAAGGCTATACACCAGATATCTGAGGTATCTGCAGTATGATACTTAAAGTGTTTGTTCCAAATTGCTTCAATAGATACTACTGGTAAACTCCCATTAAATAATCTACATAAGCTGTGTGCCCTTTGTCCATCAGAGTGTGACGGGGAAGGAGAACTTTGTCAGTACAACACGGCAACACTCTTTCGTAATTAGTCAGCCTCATGTGAGCACTTGTACTTCATTTATGGCTTAATGGTGGTATTATTCAGATCTGCTCCCAGAATGACCTTTTCACAACTGTGCTTTTGTTGGCTACTCTTCTGGGCAAAGTCTGTTCCAATATTCTCATTGTTGGTATGTCTCCCATGAAGCTGTCCATGGCTTGAAAATTTGTCTCTTGCAGCCCAAAATTGTAATTTCCATTTTCTATATTTGTATGGTTGTTTTCTAATTCTGTGTCGGTGATCTTCGAAATTATGAAACCACATGACAGCAGAGACTAATTTTCATTACATGGTATTGTGCTAGGAATCTAAACACTAATGTCCATCAGCCCATTGCTAATTGTTGATTTGGATGCACCTGACAGATCAGAAAATGACCACATTGTACTGGCTGTATACCATATGCCATATGGCGGTTTCCCCCAGTAACTCCACTGAATCAATTCTCAATTTTTCGAAGTTAACATGCAGCCTTTGCTATTGATATATAATCTTAAATGTACGCTACTTTTGACAGAGTTAATAATGTGACCTTCTTTTCCGTACTCTACAATGCTGTTTCCCAATCAGTTTTTGCACCCTCCCTGGTAGGGAGCTGGGAGGGAGTGAAAACGTGGACTGGCTGGGGGCCCCCGAGGACCGGATTGTGAAAGACTGCTCTACACCATCACACTTTTGGTGTTGCATCATAAGACCTCTCTTTCACATGCTATACATTTGTCCCTTGGACTATTCCATCTCTTAAGGGTTCCCCTACCAACTGTATACTTACTGTATTTATTTTCTTCCCTTTATAACATAACAGAAAGGCTTATGAAGTATCACTTAGGTGGACATTGCCTGTCTGAACCACTGTCTCCTGTAACTCCCTGGTGGCTCTCAGCCTTAACCACACATCCACTCTGCTGTTCCACCACTGATGTTTGTGGATCTCCCAACCACAACTCAAATTTAGCTCAAGACTCATCCTCATTTACAGTCAGTGGCAGTGTTTACCACCACGCATTTTCACCTTGGGGGCCCCCTGTAGGCCAGAAACAGTCAGTACACTGAATATTAAATAAACACATTTCTTGTTTAGGAGATTCCGAAGCAGCGTGTTCTGCTAAACAGCCAGCTAGGATCTTCTGACTCTACTCAACAGCTGTTTGTTTAGTCTTTTGAAACATCTGAGAGGGGTTGGGAGGGGGGGCAAAATCAACAAACCCACCTACAGTGCGGACCACTTTTTTTGGTACTGTATACTGTTCCTCCTGAAGCTCATTGTTCCTCAGCTATTCATTCTTCTATTCTTTCATTCTTATACCCATTTTAATTCATAAGTACAACCACAGGACACCAATGCAGTCTCTGTCTGTGACTAGCCTTCGCTGTATTATTAAAGCTTGAGTTTTATATTTTACAGTGAAATTACTATATAGCTGTGTCGGTGAGGTACAAAATATCAAAGAGAATGAAACACATCTGATAGTCTCTGGTATTTATCTGGTACTTATCATTATGTAACCCAGCCTAGAACTACGATGTTTTGAGCTGTAAGGCTTTCAATTTGTCCAGAGAGAGATCTTAACTAACCAAACCAAAAGCCCATATATTTATGTATCTGAGCAGAGATACATACTGTCACACAGAACTGACCACATGACCAGCGCTGCCTGGTGACTAATCACCCGACACGTACCCTCATGTCCTGTGACTCACGTTAAGAGCAGGCCAGCCAACCACGAGGCCTCTGCTTCACACATGAACAGCCTCAGCTGGATGGCAGTCGCAGGCTTCAGCATGCAAAGCGACCTGACGCATGTCCACTGCCTCTTCTCCGAGCAGGCACTGCACCCATCTCTAAGCTACACCTTGTTGTCACTTCTTGCGTGATGCATAACCACCTCCATGTACAGCTGTTTCTCCTTCACGTCCGTCCTGCTTTTATCAAAGCAGACGGTCTATCCCCCTGCTTCTCCAAATGGGGATAATCAAGTCAATGAGTATATTTTGAGTACAATTCTTCATTCTTGCTGTGGTAGGAATTTACTAAACATATTTACTAATGTATTTAAGAATTATGAATCTTTTCCAGGTATGCTTTTCTATCATGTGGAAGATGATAAGTGTCTCCCTCAGGGTAGGACTCGCGTGTTGCTATACAACCGGCGATGCCTCAGCACCACACTGGTTCCGATCCCCAGCAGGCCAGACCCAATTGGCTCTCCGACTTAGTACTGTGTCTCTTTGGAGAGTCTTTGGGTTCCGCTGGTCTGACTTTGTGTTGAACAAGCGGTGCCTCATGGAGTCCAGAATGAGGCACATTACCTGCATTGTGAGGGAGCGTCAGTTGCGGCACTACGGCCATGTGGCACGTTTCCCTGAGGGTGATCCGGCTCACAGGATCCTCATTGCTGAGGACCTGAGGGGCTGGACCAGGCCGAGGGGACAATCACGTAACACCTGGCTGCAGCAGAAAGACAGCCATTTCCGGAGGATGGGACTGGACCGCATGTCAGCCTGGGGGGGGGGGCGCCAGTCGGGATCCCGAGGTGTTTCATCGTGCAACAACGCACTGTGCCAGCGCATACTCCCCAACCTGACCTCTCCCAGTTGGTGATTCCATACAGTTACTGACATGTCTTAACTTACTTTCCACCCTCATAATTAACAAAGATTCATGGCTAAAATGAAGGTTAGACAGGGCAAACCATGGGTATTTTACTGTAATATCCCAACATATAGATATTGCTTTTAAAAAAAATGCTCAATGTACAAGAGACACTCAGGAGTAAATAATTTTTTTTTTTTAAATGTTAATTGTTAGATAATATTGAGCACAAAACCCCTATCAGTGTGATGTTCCTATAGAGCGTAAATCATTTAACTGTTAACTTTGTGTGTGTGTGATCTAAGCCAGGAGAGATATTGCATGAGCGCATTAAGCCAACGTCCTCTGCTGCGTGTGTGTGGGTGGGTGTTTGCCTTGGTGACGGCAGGTCCAGGCAGGGTGTCTCACAGCAGAAAGCAGAGCTCACTGGTGGAACAGCACAGACAGATCTCTGACCGACTCCAGGTAAGTGCGCTCTCTGTCTCACTATCTGCTTCAAGTGTTGCATTCGCTCATTTGACTGAAAGCGCATATATTTGAATCTGTTTTCAGCTCCATAGATTGTAAAATTATATGAGTCCAGTTTACATGCTAAACTTCATTTTGAAATCCTGAAGAAGCAATGTATCACTACGTAAAACCAAAACAGGCAGAGAAGGCTTCATTCACCATGACATGAAATAAAATATGATGCATAATACAGAGTGTGATAATGTTTACCTTTATACACTTGTTTAACTCGATGTTTCTAAAATGGGTGATTAAAATGTGTTATAAAGCATTTGATTATATAACTGGATGTTGAAGAGGAACAGGTGAATCACTGGTCAGCTGTTTGTGAAATGGCAATAGAATTCAGATTAACCTTAAATATTTCAGTCAAAAGAAAAATAATTTTCAGTAATAATGGGCCTCATTCATCAACCGTTCTTACGAACAAATTTGTTCTTAAGCCCCACGTACGCACTTTTTTTTTTTTACAAAGATTCTGACATTCCCCAATGTTTTCTTATCTGAATTTGTTCTTAGCTAAGAACAGAATCTATGCACACTCAAGACCATTCGTACGCACATTTGAGTAATGATAGTTTGTTCAAAATAATTGGTTATAGCAGTTTTGTTCATTCTACAGTTCATAAAATGATAGTATTTTAATAATTTATAAACGTAAAATATAAAAAATAATTTTTAAGTGTAAAAATTATTTTCATGGTAGTAACGGCGATCATGCGGATTATAAATAATTTAGAATCTTCGTAAAAAAGTGCGCACGTGGGGTTTAAGAACAAATTTGTTCGTAAGAACGGTTGGTGAATGAGGCCCATTGTTCTTGCATCACACTGTGGTGGGAAATATTCATCTGATAAGTAATGGCCACGGATTTGTAACTGAAATCAATTTCTTCTCAAATTCTGACAAAGAAAGGGAACGACTATGACGATTGGCAAGACTCGTAAGAAGTCCCTCAAGTTCCTGGACCGGGCCGACGGCTCTTACTGGCTCCTGGATGAAATGGAGGTGCCAAGGGAGGGAGAGCTGATACAACAGGAGCAAGACCAAGGGAGGATGGGAAGCGGAGATGAGCGAGAGGGACATTCCACGCCATCGCGAGCGCAGAGTGACAATCGCGAGCCAGACATTTTTGATTTCGATACAGGCATGATGGAGGACGACGGGACGGCCGCACTGCTGAGGAGGAAACCAAGTCGCCTCAGCAGCCGGTGGAGACGGCGGAGCGGCTCCAAGAAATGGCCAAACTGTCGTGCGGAGGTCCATTCTGCCAACAAGGAAAATATGCCCCCCCCAGGGCACATGACGGAGGTACCGGCACACACCGAGACAACGGAGCCGGCCAAGCCAGTTCTGCTCCATTTGTCTATGAAAGGTGATGAAGATGATAAGGTTCTGATTTCTGAGAAGGAAAGCAAGAACGGCCAGCATGCAGAGGAGGAGATAAAAGCAGTGAAGAAGAAAAGCCTGAGGAATTACACACGGGTGAGGGCCGAGGCTTGGACACTTATCTCTTACATGTTCTGCTACCTGTTTATGCAGCTGAGCAAGCTGGTGGTACAATTGGTGGTACAACAGCAGTATCCTATTGCCAGTGTCACCCAATGACCCTCATGCCCAGAGTCCTGCACACAACCGCAGGCTGGTATCGGAGAAATCACATGGGCTCTCACTGCACAGACTTTAAAGGTGCGCGGCTGGGCTGCGTTACGGCAAACTGTTGGCAGGCCCAGCCGGAATTTCCTGCTGCTAAAGCACTTGCTAACAACCACTGGGACAATACTGTTCCCCATAGGGGTAGATTAAACACACAGCCAACTGCTGTGAACGAACAGCAGTAGACAGCTTTGTTTCTTAAGTGCCAGGAAAACACTGCCAACATGTAAACAATAAAATACAGAATATCCTACTTAATTCAGCATAATGAGTGACAAATTTAAGGTTATACTTTTACTGCTTCAAGAATTGTTTTGGAGCCATATCTCTCTCCCCCTCTTTTCTGTTTACAATTTATACACCAGGAGGGATGTGGGTATGCAGCAGAGAGATAAGGCACACAGACGTTTTTCTACATGTACATGGTCAGCAATCGTCATCTGAGGGTGCAGGAGGCTGAACCTTGCAAGCAACTCAAGAACCAGACCATCTGTCTGTCAGCATTGCTCTTTTGTTGTTACTCTGTGGTCTACGTCAGCATTGATGCCAGACGCCCTCGAATAATCTGCTCCTGAGGTTCATCCTATTTATAACTGAACCTTCATCATGTGCCTATGCTGACATAGCTGCAGCAGTGAATTGGTCTTGTATGCATCTGTGTTGGAATCACCTATTCATTTCTCCCCTCCAGGCTATTGACCGAGCTTTCCGCAGAGGCTGGGAGACCTTTGTTGCCAACCTGAATAGTGTGACTCTCAGTCCTATCTCCTCTTCATCGCCCTCCTCGCGCTCACCAACAGAAATCCACCACCGTTCCTCACTTGCGGAATCCAGATAGAACAAAGCCCAGGTGGCACCTAAAGGAGAGTTTAACCAATCTATTGTATCTTGATATTACTGTATTTGGAAACGCTTCACATTATCTGTACCTTCATAATGCATTCATTATGCACTCATAGAACATTCAATGCATCTTCATAATGCAAGTATAGAACATTCATAAACAGTAAGTATATATTAACATCTTATTATACCTTAACAGCATTACTTTATATTAATAACAAACATATGATAATAACATACAATATAGCTGTATATTCATATGAAGTTTGTTATTAATGTATATTAAAGCTGCGAAGGTATATTACGATGGGAAGGTACACTTACATGCTGCTTATGAATATTCTGTCAGTGTATTATGAATGCATTATGAAGGTGCACTGAATGTTCTATGAATGCATTACGAAGGTGCACTGAATATTCTATGAATGCATTACGAAAGTGTACTGAATGTTCTATGAATGCATTACGAAAGTGTACTGAATGTTCTATGAATGCATTACAAAAATGTACTGAATGTTCTATGAATGCATTACGAAGGTGCACTGAATATTCTATGAATGCATTACGAAAGTGTACTGAATGTTCTATGAATGCATTATGAAGGTGCACTGGATGTTCTATGAATGCATTATGAAGGTCCAGTTAAATGTAAAGCCTTACCCTGTATTTTGTTTCAAGATGAACATTTGTAATGTACATGTAAAACAAATTATTTGCATTATTCTTTCCTGTATACTTGCAGACATTAGTCTAATATGTCTAATGTATAACGCCTGCATTGTCCTTGTGTGACATCATCTTTTGACATTATCGCTCAGTTACCAGGTATAACAGGTGGACCTCAATCAGAGACCAAAGGTCTGCTTCTGTGACTAAGAAGGTTCAGTGCTACATAACTGAGTGATTGACTTTGAACTTCTTATGAGTATTGCTGTGGCAGCGTCTTGGGCTATTTGGAAATGAAATGTGTATCTGCACAGGAAAGCAGGACCATGGAACCCTAAGCTGTACATAAACGTATGCCAAACCACTATTAGTGAAGTGAAAATCATCTGTAAGGAAAATGTTTGTAAAGAAATTTGTACATGCATATGATAAATAGCTCCTGTAATGTGATACGTATGTACAGTCCAGTAATGAAAAGCAAATTTCTGTTAAGCAATATGTATGATTTTTTTCTTTTTACATTGAACTGCATGGCGTTGAATGTCAAAGCGAAAGAGACCAATGATGCAACTGAAATAGGATTGGCAACTGTGTTGCATTATAGGTTATGTAGAAATAAGAAACCAGCTATTCAGGTATAGCCCTAATCATAGCAAGCTACTCTAAGTTCAATTAAGTCCAGTTATTGGACACTTTTTATGCAGTACAGAAAATACAGCATTCAGACGAACTGATCATAAAATTGAGAACCTACTGACAGCCCAGCCCTGAAACAGAGAAACCGGCTGCTTTAAAGAAAGCCCCCCCTACTAATGCTCCTTACCTACAGTGCAATAGGGGACACAGGCGGCCGCAAGCTTTGGAAGAAGGTGCCGACTTGCAAGCCAATTTCACTCTGCCTTGGATGGGTTAGCAACAGTGGTGATGGATCCCTGGGACACATTGGCTAGGACTGGTACTGACTGCCTACCCATCTGTACATGGTCTTATTAATTAATATAACCCTGGGGAACCCAGACCACCTTATCATTATAGGAAAAATATGTCCATTGGCTAAAATGATCATACAGACCCAGTGAACTCAAAAACAGGTGTTTTGTAAAAATAAAGCAGTTTCTAATTAAGTGTTGCAGAAGACTGACGTGTATTTCCCAGTGGCTAATGACAGAGAGAGATACTCATTTTCATGTCTGATTCTGAATGTGTTTCACTGCCTATCCCATCTCCAGATGGATTTGGTCCGTAACCATCCACAACAGCAGTGAATCAATCAATCTACTAAAACTCCCTTTTGAGTCATTTCTTGTTCAGTATTGAGTTTCACTTATATCTAGACAGTCTTGGCGTTTATGATTTTATTTGTTTTTGGTTCTATGATTTTTCCATTTGTTCTAGTTTTACTTAGCATCTTGACTCCTATTTTCCTATTTGCTGATTATCTGACCTCAATTAGCATTCATTTCAACTTTGCAACTTGAGTCCCACTTAGTCTTTCAATCAGAAGATCTCGTCCTGCCAGCGTTGGGTACACAGAGGCTTGGCTCTTGAAGGACTGACAGGCCAAAGGGAAACGTGTGCACAGCTCATGGCGTGACTGTGGTGGAGCATATAAACAAAATTCTAATTTTCTTGGTGCTATAGAACCATTAACTTAGATATTGCCTGCTTCAATGAAAGAGTTAAAACAATATTAACTCAAATCAGCTGAATCCATTCATCTTCCACACCTGCACATTCACTACTGGGTAATGATAAGCGTCACGGCAGGTAACACCTGGACTGGGATGGTACCCCACCGCAAGGCACACAGTCACGCACTATGAGGTGAACATGAATCATCCATTCACTGTACTGTGTGTTTTTGCACTTTACAAGGAAACCAAGATGCCCAGAGGAAAACTGGCACAAAGAACACATGCGAATTCCACACAAAGTATTGCTCTAAAGCAGGGGTGTCAAACTCATTTTAGGGTGAGGGCCGGATGAGAAGAAAATGTGACCATGTGCGGGCCGAATTTATTATTATTTTTTTTTAATCATAGTGCATCAAATTACAACAAATACACTATATTCTGTAAAACTGCATTTAACAAGTCCTCAGAAACTGTTCATTAACACTCTTATTCCTTTTTAATACTACTACTAATAATAATGATAATAAAAAAGATTTGATATTTAATACTATTGTTCAAATCATCCCGCGGGCCGTATTGGACACCATAGTGGGCCGTATTCGGCCCGCGGGCCGTATGTTTGACACCCCTTCTCTAAAGCCAAAAACTTGAATTTTTCCAATTATGTGAAACCAGTTGTCATTAAGAACAATTCTAAAAATAGATATCATTTTATACTTTAGAATAAATGATACAATATTCACCATAGGTTTTATATAAATCAGTGAGTTCCCATTAACAATTATGCGCTCTTAGCTTTTAAATTATTGAAACTACAGAACTGATTATCCTGGGGTGGGGGGAAATTTGAAATATTTATTTTTTCTGCCTATTCTCCTAGTGAGCGTCGCGGTGAAAATCTCAGATTATCAGACAGGGCTGGAGTGGCATTAAAAATCGAGCCTGGACTTCTGCCCATACAGGCCCACCACACATACATACCTATGATAAAATGCGGGGGCAGTGGCTCCCCCACGATGTATTTTGCTAGCCCACAACCCCATCGAGCCACCGGGAAAGATAACAATCATGTCATCAGATGATATGTAACACACGGAACAAGTTTTTAGTTAAGTTACCACAACTAAAATATATAGCAAGGCCACCTGGAGCAGGCATGTAGCCAGAGGTAAATTTCATGGAAGGTCCGGCATAACCCCGTCTTGGCTGATTTTCCCGACCTTGGACAGTCAAACCCGTAATATCACTAGGTGCGACGTGCCACGCTGCCTTGCATGAGCCGCACTGGCTTCAGACGGAAAAGGCAGGCGCTCGTTTGCTGCCACCTGCTGTTTACCGCTCAAGTCGCATCGCTTTTTTTTCTGCTTTTTGAAAATACCGCTCGGAGGAAATGACGTTATTTGAGTAAATTTAACGACTAATTAAATTTTGTTGTATTTATTTATTTATGTATGTATGTATGTATGTATGTTTAGATGTTGTACCATAATTAAAACTCTAAACCATACTATGGTTTTACAATCATTTTTGAATGAACGTCAAACTAGAGGATCCTGGGAAACGACGGCGGTACAAAACGTGGTTCTCGTCCGCCATTTCTGTCATTTCACAGAGGACTCTGCATGGGGTAGGTGAGCTGATATTTATGAAGTGTAGAGGTGGTTTGTGGCTAGTTTTTGCTTTTAACGTGAAGTAGTTGTTAAGCATGTTAACTGTACATTATAGTGTTTGTAAATGTATTATTTTAGTTTCCATTATAAACGCAAAGGAACAATGCAGTTTCGCTTCCGAGGTCCGTGGTCACGAACTTGACGAAGTGTGCTTTTAATCCACCATTTATCAAAATGCATGTTATCCATATTATAAAGCAAATTCTTTATTATTCCTTAGTATAATTTGAGTCAAGCTAAAACGCCTTGTCCTTGCCTTTTTGTGTATGCGAGGTAGAACAGCGGTGAAATTTAATCGTGATTTAATTACGAAAAGAGGGCGCAAATTAGCCCGATATTGCAGTTGCAGTGGCATGGTGCCTTGGTCGATTAGCATATTTTATAAAGTAAATCTCTTATCCAGGAACGGAGTGCCGCCTGAGCACGTGTCTGACAAAATGGCTTCAGCTTTGTTCCCTATCGGGTATCTGCTGGAATCGGGATGACCCCCAGGTACTATAGACGTAATTTCTTAATACTAGATGTCCCATTGCTACCATGATGATATATTGAACTCTCTCTTGCTGAATCTTTTGAAGAAACTACTTTACCAGATTCTGAGTAGTAAAGGATATTGAGTACTGAGTTAGCCATGAATGAGTAGTCTGTTTTAAAGATTTTAACGAGATATTTTACCCCCGGTCCCCCTTCTGCAGGTGTGCCGAACTCATCAGTGAGATTCTAACACAGGTAAAATAAGTTTCCGTTTTGATTATGAGTGTGGAAGGAATCATGATGAATTATAACTGACAAGCATATGTCTGAATTTGGTGATGTTTCTCCAATTCTGAAATCCTAGTGTGTTATAACTGAAGGATCCAGCTTTGTTGCTTGGTTGTTAATGGGTTTTCCCCCTCCTTTTATAGGTCTGCTTCTAGCATCAAACCACTAAGGTGAGTGAAGGTTCTCAGCATCACGGTCTTGATGTTGGTAGTTGGCATGTCTGATAGGATGAACTGGGTATTAACCCATTATTTTTTGGACGACTCATGTCTCATGGCAGCCTAGTCACCAAAGCCCTGATCAGACTGCATTGGGTTAAATGTAGCCTACATCAGTGACTGGAAATGGAGTAACTAAACTCTCTCAATCAGGGCTGCTCCTGTTGGTGTTTCATGGATCTGCCATTTGGCTGGAATAGGACCAGCCCTTGCAGGTAAATAGCAGCATTTTTTTTTTATCCCCTAGCAAGTAGGATGAAACTGGCCTTTGGTAACTGAGTGCAGTGATCCCCCATGTTAAGATGTGGAATGAAGATTCCTATTACCGCCCCAGTCTGACACTTTGTGACTGAGTGGTAGTTCTCTGACCACATTTTACATAATTTCTCCAATCAGCCCATGCTGATGTTTAGCTTATATCTGGGCTACTTTGCAGGATGTTTAAAAACTGAAGTGGTGCTGCAGTAGGTAGCTGTGGTCAGGAATGGATCAATGAACTGCATACATTAACGATGGAACCAGCAGTAAAATTTTTTTGCATCTTTGTGAATACTTTGTCATTTCAGGTTTGTCTGAAAGCTAATGGAAAATGTGGGAAAAGATCTCGACACTCAAGGCTGTACTATAAACCAAGAGTGAACCCATGATATTTCACATGAAAGGTTAGTCTGTCTGGCGGAAGTCGTGTCGCATCTCGAGTTCATATAAGAACCTTGAGTCTGATATGTCTGCGAGTGATGAATTGTTACCGCCCCAGTCTGATTTCAGCTGACTGATTCGGTATCTTTCTGATCAACCGACTGCGGTTGCTGATGTGCTTATATACTTGATTAGCGCTAACTTTTGATTTCTGTTCATTCAGGGTCTTCAGTGGGAGTGAGGTTTACTGAAGACAGTGCTGAATGATGACACTACACGGCTCCCTTTGTGAAGGATTCAGTATTGTTAAACTGTGGATTGTAGTGGTGCCCCCCCCGTGTGGGTGTGCACACCATATGTAATACCCTTTTTTTGGGGGGGGGGAGGTCCACACAATAAAGCCTTACCACTAACTGCATTGTTCTTGTGTTTGGGCTGAGATGCGTTAACAGGCATTTAATCTGGACTAGGTCCTAGCAAACTGCAGGAACGAAGACAAGTTCTTCGTAACTTTTAGCATTATTTGACCATTGACTGGTAATTAACCTGCAGTACTCTCAGGCCATGTTCACGCCTGGCATTACCATGTGTCTCCACATGCATCTCGACTGAACGCTTGTAATCACATCTCACTTTGCCGCAGCTTTAAGCGTAAATCACTTCCGTATGCAGGATTTGCCAAATTATAAGAAACCAAAAGCTGTTGCCACATTCTAGGGGTGAACAAGCTGTGAAATGTTTGTATGGACTGCCATAATACTAAAAATGAAATATCTATGAATAAATTTCGTTGTGGTGTTTTATTTTTAAATAATTCCATAAATGGTATATTTCATTGTTTTTCTGTTATTTCATAACAATTTAATGATGCAATGTGACTAAATTCAACCTTTATTTCACAATAAAGTTAAACTCTTCATGTTGCAGGCATGCAGTTTATACAGTGTTAACAGAACACCAATGTGTTAAAGGTCTTTCAGCACTAAGACACGAAATATCAATGATGCTCAGTTGTGAGAATGTTTCCATGCGAATGGGTTACAACGGTCTGACAAACTTCCCAGCAGATGCAAACGTATATTTGGGTGTTGTAGTGAGAAAGATGTGCTGCTCACAGTGCACTTTACTACACAGTAGCCCACTTTGCACTAACGTACGTTCTGACATAAATCACGTTAAATGCTGCTCCCGTGTGTAATGAGTACGAACGTATTTACGCCCACATGAGGCCGTCAGTTGAGTAGGCGGTCAGTGTGGCCTGCGACATTCGCGTTCACACTGCTATAACAATGTGGCCATATGCTCTCCAGACCACCTCCCAGTGGGGTTTGAGCGATCAGATCTCAATGCGGCTTCAGTCCGGATTGGGTGCGTTCACACCTGTAATTAGCGCTGCCCATTTGTGATCGGATCACACAGGACGCTTGTTAATACCAGGTGTGCACAGAGCCTAAATCTGGACACTTTAGTCACTCAAGCATTAATGAAATTCTGCTTTCAATCCAAATTGTGGAACTTAGTTATAAAACAGTATAGACATAACAATGCGTTGTGAATTGATTTAAGGTGGAGATTCAATGCACTGAACTCAACTTTTTTTTTTCTTTTAAGGGTAAAGCAGATACTCCTAAGTTGCAGATACTCCTAAGTTGCACACACTCATGTTCAAATGCTGCAGGTAGACAAAGTAGAAATGCTGGAATGTGTATTTCCGAGACGTTGAACGGCAAGGGAAGGACCATTATTCATAAAGGAAGTGCTACCTGGTGTCTGTGCTATGGTGCTTTTGAGAAACATGCCCCTGTTTTATAGCACTGAACACTCTTCATCGTTAACACAACCTTTGGTTAAGACAATCTTTGTGCTATGATGTTTTTGAGAAATTACTTTTATAGCACGAAATGCTCGTTCTTCTTTTAAGCTATTGTACAATGGTCAAGACCCTGAGGTAGCTGGTAACTAGCCAGTTAAGTTAAAAGTAAGTCTTAGGGTGTTTTCACACTTGGTCCGTTTCATCCTTTAAAGCGAACTCAGATCGATTAGTCAGCATTTTTTTGGGTATATATGTGAACATGCCAAATGAACCGAACTGAGACCACATCGGGAGGTAGTCTCAGTCCGGTTCGCTTAACTTGTCACGGGTCGTTTAACTTGTGCATTATAAACACAAAGCAGTCCTGGCTTGCTTCGACAATTTTTACCCTTCAGCTTTGCCGTAGGCAGATCACGTGGTACAGTCCCGGGAAACAAGCAAAAATAATGGCTGCATGTGTGGGACACGGAATAGTTTGGTCAGAGGAGGAAACTACGCCACTTCTTGACATTGGAATGAAGGAAACACAAAACGTCGACTATCTACAACACACAGGAATGCAAAGGCCATCTTCTTGAAGTGAAAACTACCCAGAATCCAAAGCAGTAAAGGTCTGAGAGCTCCATAAGAACTTGAAGTATGAACGAAAGTAATGAGGCCCCATCTGAGCTGCAGTAAACCAGAAAGAGAACTGAATCCCCTTTCAAATGAACTCGCATTGTGAACACAAAAAGAACTGAGCTCCCTTTCTGTTGGTCCACTTTTGGGACCACTTCAAGAGGTCCGAGTTCGGTTCCTTTAAAGAGGACTATATGTGAAAACACTCTTAGAGATGCACGACATATTGGTTAATGTATTGGTACTGACCAATGTGTTAGTCTTGGCAGATATCACTTTTATCAACATTCAAAGTTATCAGTACCAGCGCTAATGACACAAATTGGCAAATCCACCCCAGGCATCACTTACTTTGAGGTATTTCTTTTTTCCTGTACAGTTCAGTAGTTGGGCTTTTGACAGTTTTAGTAATTAAGTTCTGTGATCCTCTTGTCTTTATATTCCATTAATATGTGCAAGTTCCCATGGCAATATTTGCAAATTATTTTTAGTGAAAAGGTTTGAATTTATGTTATGAAACTCATTGTGATAGAAATTAAAGATTTCCGATGCATTGAATCATTCCCTAAATAAACGAATCACTATGGAGCTAACAATTTACACAGCTGTAAAGCAGCACATACATTTATGTCTCTACAGTTGGAATCAAGACTTGTTACATGCAACAAGTGTCATAAAATCCACACAATAATGTAACACAAAGCTTTTGTATGCCTTTGACCAAATGATTCGGCATGAAAGCGAGTTGATTTCATCCCAGTCATCACAGTTCTAGAATAATCATTGACTCTTTTACCTTTGACCAGTAAAGTGAAATATCCAAAAATATTCTCCTGTCTCTGGTACTAGCTGGAACTTTGAATATCAGTCATTACAAAACTTGTATATTTCAGGAACATCATGCTTTAGTGTAAACCCACCAATTACATCTCAGTGTGTTTTACTGAGTAAAGATCACTGGATATCTGCTGAAGATGTAGGGCATTCATCTCCATGGAATTTCACAGCAGACGCTGCAAGCATTTATCCATTTCAGTTCACGTCGGTGTCAACTGTACAACTGAATTAGTCCGCAGTAAATATTCTTGCTGCGATGTCATTGAGTAGCCAATCTACACCATTCAGCAGGTTCTCACCAGTCACAGCACTGCATCCAATGATGCACCAGTGATGCGTCTTAATATTCTCCAAAGCCAAAGCCTGCAGACAGACATGACAGTCAAATGCACTGCAGAGTAATAAACTGACAATTCACAGTATAAGGAAATCAGTACGGCTGTATACATTCACAGTTACAAATAACCTTACAGAATACTCACAGCAGAAATTAACACATGGGAAAAGTCACACAGTAACTGCCAGGTGGACACAGACAGATGAAGACACTGGAACAGTGAAAACATTCTGCTATCTATGAACCGTTTCTCCAAAAGGATGCTTACCTCTCGTATTTCATCTTTGGACAGCGCCCCAGGCAGATCCTGTTTGTTGGCAAACACCAGCAGAGTCGCCCCAGCCAAACGCTGCGCAAAAGAAACACGGTGAGCGATTCCACGACGCCACACATTTCCTTAATACCAAAGGAATTACTGTATGGAATTATGAATCGTACGAAAGAATTAAGTTTGAACAAACTACGAAGGTTTTTCCACTTTAAACACATTACAGCGTACAACAAATAGGGTCATCTGCTGGCTCACGTTGACACTGTAAAGCACTGAACTTGAGGGTCCCCCATATGTGAGCTATTGCATATCATGGTGATACATGGATGCAGAAATGCACCACATGTAATTCACATATACAAAGACAAACTGAACTGAGCTGGTGTGTGTCTGTAACAGCATCAATACAGTAAGTTGCCTTGTTTGACCTTTTTTGGCAGCTAATTTTATTGGCAGTCAGTTATTGGCGTACATAACCTTGGGGAGTCATGACAGACTCTTATGTAAATCGGAATAGTAATAGAATTGTGATACTTCATTAATCCCTGTGGGAAAACTCTCTTTTTTGGCTCACAGTGAAGGTCCACAGGGAGCTGGGGGTTAATGGCCTTGCTAAGGGGCCCACAGACATGCTGAGGCTGGCTTTAACTGCCGACCTTCAGACATAGAGGCTTAGCCCACTGAGCCACACACCCCACCGCCCTTATGCATCACCTTATTCCATTTATGGACATAAAGACATCTCCGCCCCAGGGACAGCCTAGTTTATGCAGTGTTTTCTTGCTACACGTTTGCTGATTAGTAAATGTACAGGTGTTATTACATTTACGTTTAATCAGTAGACACTTTTGTCCAGGCACGTTACCAAAATAGTGTGGTCTAGGCTTTAGTGCAGCTAGGCTGAGCCTTCAATGAACACTCAGTTATAAATGTAAGCAGTATTGGGACAAGAGTTACACAACATCTTCCAACGAAGCAAAAACCTAATAAGACTATTCAGAGCCCAGAAGTGCCACTTTAAGAACATGCAGAGAAGAGGAAATTTTTACACAATTCCTGGAATAGAAATGTAGATGTTTTTATAGAATATGCCCTAACTCAGCATTTGCATGGCTAGATAAATATGTGCGTGATTTCTTAACTGACTTTTCCCTCAGTGTCTATCTGCAGTTTTCATTCTGCATCATCACTCTAAAGGTTTGTTGCTGCAAAATACATCTTTTATGCAAAGTATGTTAGACTACCGTCATTATTACCATATCAAGACCACTTTAATATCCTTTTGTGTGAATGTCATATGATTACTTTGAGTTTGGTCATGTGCAAATAATTTCATACACAGACTGTTAGTAATGTGATATTTTAAACTGCTTTCCTGTTGTATAAGTAAAATGATGTGAAAGTGATTAGTTGTCATTGTTGACACACCACAGCACACAGTCATCAAAATGTGTCGTCTGCATTTAACCCATATGTGACATAGCAGGGGGCAGCTAATTCAGCACCCGGGGAGCAGTGCTTGGGGGCGGTACCTTGCTCAGGGTACCTCAATGATACTTTGCTGGTTGGGGAAATCGAACTGGTTGGGGGTCGGATTTCTCCAACCATTAGGACACCACTGTCCACAATATAAGTGTGATAATACAGGAAATATTACACCATTCTTAAATCAAACCACTTCTTACAGCACCTTGTGCAATAAACAGTATTAGCCTGTGAGAGTATCAAACTCTCTAGCCAGGTGCTCCATTTCGGGACAAACTAGGAGCCCTTGCTACATTCTGATATGGGCTTTGGATAAGGCCCAACTCAGGTGAGAGTCGGCTTGGTGTTGAAATGGAGGTAGGATTGTGCACAAGCAGCTTAAACAATACAATTTCATACATCAGCATCAACCCAAGGGTTTCAATAATTGAAATACAATAAAGAAGCACACACACACAGTCCTGAGTCTTGGACACAATCCAGGCAGCACGTTACCTCTTCCAGGAGGAGTGCACTGAGCTCCTGTCTGCAGTCCGCAAGTCGCAGTTTGTCTGCGCTGTCGACGACCCACACCAGCCCATCTGTGCTCTCAAAATAGTTTCTCCAATAGGAGCGCAGGGATTTCTGACCACCAACGTCCCATATGTTGAGTTTAAACCTGCACCAAGTGAAAAAGTAGTGTAGTAATATGCAGACACATACAAGCTATTATTTTATGCTTATGTCTTGGAGCACATAAACTCTCTTGTGCGCAGGAATGAGCTATCGATATTTAATCTCTGTTGTATTACACTTAAAGGGATAAGAAATCATTGTTCTCATTTGGCTCCAGCCTTGTCATTTTTGATAAGCATTCCTAGTTCATAAGAAATTGTATTCTTACCCTCTGTGTTCAAGAGTTTTTATATTAAATCCAAGGGTAGGGGAAATAGTGCTGACATCTTCCCCGTTGAATTTTTTTAATATGGTTGTTTTTCCTGCATTGTCAAGACCTCTATAATTTTTTTTGTTAAGAAAAATAAGTATTAATACCATACTGTATATCACTGCAGTATAATAAAGCAAATTAATTGTGACCAACATTATGAATGGGGAATGAAACGCCATGATATGGTTCAGCAGCTACACAAAGAATCACATACATATTCCTGACATAGAGTATAAGCTAACTAACTAAGATATTAATTATTTTACTTCAGTCACTTGTCTGTCCCTTTCGTTATTAATCTCCATCATGGTCAATGCATCATCACCTGGCCAATTTAGAAAAGGATACAGCATCAAAAGTCGCATCTCTCGTTCTTTGTGCTTCATTTTCTTTAAAATGGTGAGTAAACCCATTTGACACTGCAGTAAGTTACTTTATCTTAAATAAAAAATGAACGATTCCCTTAATCAATTTAACGGAAATATCACTGATATCAGTATTCGTTTTTGCTCTATGAACGCCTGTTTGCAAGAAATGACACAGGCGCAATTGCCTCCCAAAATACCAGGAAGTGCCGTCAACATAAAGCCCACCTATTCTGCTCTACGATTGGTTATTTTCCTTTACGCGCGGGACGTTTTAAGAATTAATTGGACGGTGGCAAAATCAATCAAACCGAAAGCATTTAGATAAAGAGAAGGACATTGAAAAGTCGTTTGCAACTTTCTCTGGCAGCACTTTTTACTAGCGCCACCTATGTCCAAATCATAGAGCCATATTCGTACACATGTATGTTGTGATATTTGTACGGGATACGTAATCATTATTGTCGTGTGTGTCATGTTGTGTTATTTGTAAATAAGACAAACGCCATTTTCTTTCATTATATGCCTGCATATTTTGAAATGACAAAAAAGTTTTACTTGACTTGATATTTATTTACAGAGCCATAATATTATCCCATAACATGATTTTTTTTTTTTTTAGAAAACTGATACATTGCTTTACTTGTTGTAATGTTTACTTAATCGGAGATTTTCATTATATATGTAGAGATTGATGAAGACATTTTTATATATATATTGAGTCTCCACAATGGCTCAATATGTGTGGAGCTTGCATGTTCTCTTCTTTTCATCATGGGATTTCCTCTGGATTGTTCCCTGGGTTGGGCCCATATAGGTTCCAGACACCCCACTACCCTGAACAGGACCTGACTGTCCTGTCGCACTCGCAGCAGTAGTCATGAAAATTCTGGAGAAACTTATTTTGAGGTGCAATAACAACATGGTTTTAAAGTCCTTTGATTCCCTGCAGTCTACTGGCCGCCCAAACAGGTTTGTGGATGAGGGAGTGGCCACGTTATCTGCCCTTCAGCACTTCAACAATGTAAAACTGTGTTGTACGCCTAGACTTCCTGGATCACAGCCTAGCCTTTAATACAATCAAGCCTGCTAGGTTAGTCAAGACGGTAGCTGACCTTGACTTCTCCCTTCCACTTGTAACTGGACACAGACAAACCACAGGTGGTGAGAGTGGTTAATACAGTTTCTGCTCGGCCAACCCTGAGTACAGGTGCTCATCAGGGTTTCTGCCTGAGTTACAAACTATTCTCATTATACACAGATGACTGCTCCCCTCCCCCCCCCCCACGATCACAACTTTATTTTTAATTTTCCAGATGACTCCACTGCCCTTGGCGTGACCAGTAATGGATTTTCGTTACAGCAGCTGGTCAGTGACCTGACTCAGTATAGGGAGAAGACCAACCATGCCTTGAACATTAGCAAGATTGTATATGTAACTTCAAGTATCACAACCCACAAAAGCAGGTTCTTGCCCTCAGTAATAAGGACATAGAGGCTAGGAAGACAATCCCAAACCCATTGTGCACTCAGCCATATATCTGTGCAATAATTTCAGGGTCTTCTCATGCTTGTGAATAAGCTTCCTAGTAAATCATGCACTTAAGTAACAATCACTTTTTACTATTAAAAAGTATTTCCTAGTTACATGTATATATATGTATATTGTACTTTGTTTCCATATTGTCCATATAGACATGTACTGTACACATGTGTGTTCTGTCCTTGTCTATGTTGTTCACATTTGTGTCATATGTCCTATATGTCCTATACCAGCTGAAGGGCTTCTGCATAAGAATTCCTATGTAACTGTACAAATGGTGAATGAAATGCTTTATTGACAAAATGCCATTTTATGACTATTTGCTACAGTGCATATAAAAACTCTACACACCCTGACTGGAATTGCAGGCATGAGTGCTGTAAAGCCAGAAATCAAGATAACATTTTTCCATCTTTAATTTGACCTTGCAACCAACAAAAGAGAAAAAAAATAGATCATCAGTTAGACAAGATATCAAAATAAGAACGTCCGACACTTGGACAACTTTAAGCAAATGATGCTTGTTGCAGAACTCCAGGGGGGTCATGGAATGTTCAGGGAAACCCCAAGGGGCATTGAATGTAGAGGGGAACCTCAAGGGGCATTGAATGTATAGAGGGGAACCTCAAGGGGCATTGAATGTAGAGGGGAACCTCAAGGGACATTCTCATGGTGCCTCAATGGGCGTGACACAGATTGGTGCCTAGAATTCCACAAACACTATATGGGCAAAAGTACTGGAACATCTGGCTATTACATCAATAGGCACTTTCATACAACCGGAACTGTTTTCTGGGACCAGCACCTTTTTCTGGAACCAGGGACTTTTGTTGTGTTCCTTGGAGGCAGTTCCAGAACCCTTTTTAAGTCCCTACTCCAGACTAGGTACTTCTCGTTTGAAAACAACTACTGGGGAGGCCCTAATTGCTGGGGAGGTGGAAAGCGATACCTTGTAATTGTGGGGAATTTGATGTATGTGATGACCTGTAGTAGACCAGATCTATGCTAGGTTGTGAGTAAGTTATCACAGCATATCCGCTGTGTTTCCTGGCAGGTGAAAAACTGGTTTTTAAGCTCATTGTAAAGTCGTTGTATGGTCTGGAGTAATGTGGGGGAAATTGGAACAAATTGCCGAGTGATTACCTAATAGAGAATGGTTTTGTACAAAATCTTTCAGACCATTGTGTCCACCGTAAAGGAGGTGGGAAAGAAAGAGCAATGCTTACATTCTATATTGATGGTTTGATTATTGCAGCAATTAATGATGATTTGTTGAATGATGCGAAGGAAACATTGACTACAAAATATAAAATGAAAGATCTTGGAAATTGAAATATTTCCTTCGTATAGATTTTGATCTGGATGAAAGACTTGTAAAATGAGTCTGAAAAAGTAAATCTCTAAGGTACTGGAAAGATTCAGTATGTCTGACTGTAAACTAAGGTCATCCCCATGTGAACAGAAATTTGAGCGTGACAACAATGCTTGATCCTAAAAGATATGGTGAAATTGTGGGAGGTTTTGATCGATGTGGTGAACTGTACTAGACCAGATCTATGCTGGGTTGTGGGTAAATTCAACACTACAAAACCTGCAGGTTGTTCCATATACAGACGCTCCTCTACTTACGAACGAGTTCTGTTCCGAACGGCCGTTCGTAACTTGAAATGTTCATAAGTCGTTATTCAGCATCATTTTAAGGATATACGCAAGTACAAAGAACTAGGATGCTGGGAGTACGCACGCTACACTGCTGCACGGCGGGAGTAGCGGCCAGAAGTCATACTAAGCGGAATTGGCGCGCAGAAAAAAAAATATGTTGCGGACAGGAAACGGGAGCCCAATGAACACAAATTGGACTTACAGTCCTCTTCGTTCGTATGTCTGAAAGTTCATAAGTTGAACGTTTGTATGTAAAGAAGCATCTGTACATTTCACCTCCACCAAACGTTACAGCTGCACAATGCAGTCAGGCAGGTAACATTCTCTTGGCATCCACCCAACCCAGACTCCTCCATAAAACTGCCAGACATTGAAGTGTGATTTGTCACTCCACAGAACATGTTTATACTGCTCCAGAGTCCAATGGTGGTGTGCTTCACACCAGTGTTTCACAAACGTTTTTTTCTAGGGACCCACTTTTTAAAAGTGATAAAGCATTGCGACCCAATTTACAATAGGCCTTGTAAATCAAGAGAAGAGCGAATATGTACATTAAAGTACACTCCTGACCATTTTGTATCCCCCTAAATTATCTTGAATTGGTAAACCAGTAATTTGGAAGAGCTATGCATTTAGATGGAGTTCATTTATTGTTCATCTCATTGTTTTTATTTTGTCTCATAAATTAATGTATAAATTTTAAATAATTTACAAATGAGACAAAATAAGTGCAATTGGGCGGTTTTAACAGGCTCTGGTTTTTTCCTTTCCCCAGTAAAACAAACAGAATGTGCCTTTCATACTATGAATGTTATAAGTACAATTATTAAAACAATACAAATAATCAAAAACATGCTTCCCCCACAGGTGATAGTTTGGCTAACGTTAGCTGTAGCTCTTTAGCTCGGTCTTTCTTAGCCAAGCATCTGTTTCTTGCACTTGGATGCAGAGTCTGGTGGAATTATAAGGGAAATCAAACAAGCTCTCATGTGGCTCAGACTGCAGATATTAATCTTAAAAGACTATGCAAATTCATATAGCGACACAAATAAAATCTCCCGTGACCCAGTCCTCAGGAATGAATCCATTACTCCACTCCATGCGACGCTTGCCATTGCGCTTGGTGATGTGAGGCTTGCGTGCAGCTGTTTGGCCATGGAAGCCCATTCCATGAAGCTCCTGGTGAACAGTTTTTTAGGGGTTTCCAGATAGCAGTCAGCTCATTTTTATGTCTCCCCAGGAGTGTTCCCTGCTTCCCCAGGGCTTCTGTCACATTCTGAATGCTCATCAGATCTGCTGGGTCCATCCTTTTACTGGTGAGATCTTCTGATTCAGAAGCTAGGACACCAGCGCAGATTCACTTAGAGCAGGGGTCTCCAACTCCGGCCCAGGAGAGCTGCTGTCCAGGAGCTGTTCTATCCTACCTGGCTTCTAATGAGCCACAGCTGTTCTCAGGTAAATACCAGGTCAGTTGGCAGTAAGTGGGCAAGGCATTAACATGGAGTCTGGGAACGAGGCAGATACACAGGCAGGCAAACATACAGGACAAGTTATTAAATTCGGGAATAACTGCAATGACCTCATGTCTAACTGTCACGTCAGACAGACAGAAATAGCTGAAACTGGAGAGAAAGGACACAGCTGGGAGGGGTGTGGCCCCTAATAAGATCCACTGGAGCAATTACGGTGCTTGGTAAACGGGGCTGCCCCTAGTGGGTGGATCTGGCCGGCTGGATCTCCTAGAGAGGTGTGGCAGTGTGGTTCATGTGGCTGCAGGGCAGCTGTGTAATTCTCAATCTCCTGCCCCTTCCCCCCAGTGAAAATGGTCTAGAACCATCACTGACTCAGTTATTAGCTGTTGGTTAAGTTCTTCTCTTGGGATTCAGACCAGATCGTAGGCACTCCAGAGGCCCAGCTTTGTGCGGATGTGGTCCATGCGTTACTCCAAGGCTTAGGGGATGAGGCCAGGGCTCTCCTCTCTTAATTGTGATGACATTCAGCGCCCGGTAGTCGATGCACGATCGAAGCCTGACGTCTTTCCTCTTCACGAAGAAAAATCGTGAGGAGACAGGTGACCTGGAAAGATAGATGATACTTTGTGCGGGAGCCTCTGTAACATATGCAGCCATGGGCCTCTTCCTCTGATCGAGATAAGAACAGACAACCCTTGGGAAGCGAGGCATCCTTCACCAGGTTGATGGTGCAGTCAGAAGACCAGTGAGGAGGCAAAGGCGCCGGCTTTGCTAATCACTTCCTGGAAATCCTTGTATTCAGCAGGAATGGACGTCTGGTCCTCCAGAAGTGGACTTTCAGCAGAGGACACATGACATGAGACAGTCACACAGCAGATAAAGCAATCAGGAGACCAGGAAGCCAGTTTGCTGGAGAGCCAGTCAATGTGGGGGTTGTGGTGCCACAGCCATGAGTGGGTCGTGGGAGGACGGCAACACCAACAGCTGGACGATCTCCTGGTGAACGCTTCCTATTTGCAAGGTAAGAGGAACAGTGCAGTGGGTTATGTTCCTGGCAGCTAATTATTTACCATCTACCCCACGGACCACCAGTGGGGAGGGTAGAGATTCGAGGGGCAATGAAGTTTCCTGCAGCCTCACTATCCAGGAGGGCCACCACAGTACATACACAACTTCTGCTGCCATTGCCATTGTCACTTGGTTTGCATGCTGGTACAAGACTTGCAGGCATGACAATGGCCACCCCAAAGCTGTGGTCCTAAATCCAGGAAGAAGTCAATCGCTGAACGGATTCCCTGCTTGAGGCCACAGAAGCGATCCCGGCGTCTCCAACCGACCGTGAGATGATTGAAAACCTCTCCAAAAGCATGTCAGAATGTGATAGGGGAGGCCTTTCTCAGTCCACTTCTAGGCTTGACCAGTCAGCAACAAAATCACGAAGCACACACAGGACGTGTCTTCAGTGAGAATCTCCAGCTGCAAATCTATGTGCAAGCTGCACTTCATCAAGAAAGACCAGCACTGGTGGGGCTCCCCATCATACTTTTCCAGAATGGCGATTGGATGCCTGCAACTGGTCGAGGAGGAGAAGCGGGAAAGGGAGCCGCTGCAGGAGCTGATTCACCACAGGCTTCTTCTGAGCGATTTGTGCCTTGGCATCCTGAAGCTGGAGGTGGGCCTCAGCTGGACCTCATTGTTCGGCAAAGTATTCCGTAACGCCTGGTATGGACAGAAACTCCTGGCTGGAGCTGGGCTGGAGCTCATACTGGCCCCACCAAAAACCATCTCGCTTTCACACTGTACTTGGTGCCGAAAGGGTAGAACGGTGACGTCAATGTGTGCATGCTGCTGTGGGAGGGGTACTGTTTCAGAAGTGAAGACGAAAATGAAGGACCCTGCAAGATGCGGTGATTTTACTGCTTATATTAAATGGTTATATTATTTTTAGCTTTATTTGTTATTGTTCCCAACGCAGTTCATTCAAAATTTCTGAGCGTCCTGTTTGGGGGCCTTTGCTTTCTGCAGGTGACATGGCCCTGTTGGCATCGTCAGCCTGTCACCTACAACATGCACTAGGGCCATCGCTCTCGAATGGAAAAAGGTTTGGGGAAGGTCCTTTTCTGTTCCAGCATGACTGTGCCCCAGTGCACAGAGCAAGGTCCATAAAGACATGGTTGGGTGAATTTGATGTGAAAGATCTTGCCTGGCCCACACAGAGCCCTGACCTAAGCCCCATCAAAGACCTTTGGGATGAACTAGAACGGAGATTACAAGCCAGCCAGAAGAGGAACCAACTCCATATTGATGCTTATGGATTTAGAATGGGATGTCAGAAAAGTTCCTGTGGATGTTATGGCTAGGTATCCCAATACTTTTGTCCATATAATGTATATCACACAATAATTTCTGCATCACAACTGTTCCTCAGTTTTCATAGTATCTAATCATTTGGATGTGACCAAGATTAATGATATTCTAAGTATGATCTTGATCTTTATCTATTCCACAAGCCATCAAAGGTGGATGCATATATAGCTAGACTGTGATTCTATGCTGGAAATATACGATTGAGTTGACGTGTCATGTATGACTCATGTGTACTGTAAGTTTGCTGTCTTTGATCATCATCACTGGACCTGGTGTGCATCCACATGCATTTTGCTTAGCACAGCTCCTGCTTTACAGTGAAAATCCCAGTGTATAATCAGGAATTTGCTACAACAGCAAAGACACAAAAACTGCCTGTCTACTGTAGTAATGAAATGAGCTATAAAGACAATGAAAGCAGACCATTCATTAGCAGTGCTATGATGATGCAAATAAAATACAAATGTTGTGGAGTGGCATGCCCCCCCCCCCCCACCTTGGATATCAGCCAGTTCTGAATGGGAGAGTTCTGGTAAATGTTAACTGAGAAACACAGAACCTCTGTGGAGAGGCTACCAGTTAAGGCGTTCCTTTTTGTATAACCTTTAAAAACAAACAAAAGTGTGGTTAAGCAATACCTGGCAAATGAAGTATCAATGGACTGCATTATACAACTCAATAAGTATATAAGTGTATAATAGAAGGAACTGAATAAGACAACCACAAAAATGCCGCTGATTTTCTCGTGTATTATATCACTTTATTAATTCAGCAAGACCAGTGATGAGATCAATATTCAGGGTTACAGGGATGACCTTATAAGGTGAATGACGGCGATTTTATTCAAGGTGTGTCGGAGGATAAATCCACTCGTGTTCCCCTCTGTAAAGGGGGGGGCAGCACAGGGGCGCGATCTTGGAAAATCCGTCTGACTCCACCCTCCCCGCCGAGTTCCCTGAAACCTTGAGTTCCTTGAGTTTAGGGAAATATCGGGATGACATAATACTTCATTCATGAGTGGGAAAAAGAGGAGGCGTGAACAATATTTCTCACAGATATGAAATATAAAGGAGGGATCTGGCGCAGGTTTAAATTAACCCGGGAACTGTATGGCACCTTGCATATGTGTAATTTGTATTTGAAAAATGAAGCCACCCCCCCCCCCCCATAATATAAATATATATATATATAACATAATATAATTAGAATTATATAAATTTATAAATTATATATATATATATATATATATATAATGTTACAAAAGTTTGTTATAACAAAATCATTATTATCAGATGGTTATTATGGTTAAACCATTGCGGTTTAACTGAGATATCGTTAGGTAAGAATGGCGATCGTGAACGCCTAACACCGGAAGGTACTTGGCTTGCTTTGTAAGAAATTTCCGAGAACGTGAATTCTGGAAACTGGGCTGACCGATTGCCGTTTCCTAATATGAACTTCCTTCTTCTCAGCAACGCGGACATTTAAAATAAAATGAAACTGAAAGTTCGGCCACCGTCCACGCCTTAGCCTAATTAATAATGTCAGAAAGAGGCAGGTTCCATCTCTCAGAAGCGACAGACCTGGTATTGAGGCCTGTAATAAATAAAGGAACCACAGAGAATATAACTAGTCTGCGCACAGAAATAAGACAGACGAGTGTTGGTGCGCGAGGGAACTATAGCACAGTGTGCACGTGTATTTATACTTGGATTCAGTTTTTGTAATTCGGTATTCGCATAATTGTCAGTGGATATTTAACTTGAATTACACGTTTCTTTCACCATCATCGACGCTATCTTAATTTCTTTTAATTACCGGGATGTTGCTTTTAATGGATTCTAAATCGCAGAGTCAAGCGTCTTTTTCTGAGGATGAAAATTTACACTTTGTATCAGCACTGGTAAGCACATTACATCAGTACTGAAGTACATTCTTTACGTGTTGTACTTTTGTGTATTTCTGCAGATGTAATTATTAACGACGATAAGTTCAACTTGCAATTCACTAAAATCATAGCAGATTCTAATTATGTACACGTTTGACTTCTGCACCCAGCAGGTAGAAGAATCACCGGACTCATTCAGGAAATGCAGGCGCAGAGAAAACAACCGGGCGGCAGCGCAGAGAAGCAGAAAGAAGCAGACGGAACGAGCGGACGAGCTGCACAAGGTCCGCGTCCCTGCGGTTATTCAACCGTGATTGTTCCCCTTGACTGTGATGCGCGCTGTGCGTCAAGCTGTACAAATTTACTTCTGATCCACGCTCCCCAACCGTGACGTTTCTCGTGTCACTGAAAATAAATGAGCTATATTAAAATGATAGCTCAGGCGCTTAATTGTATGCCCGTCACTCATATGTTTAATAACATGCCTTCCCCTCTGATTTTATCCTAGAAAAGGGAGCAAATTTAGTTCTTTAAAGACTTTTGAATATCGCGAATATGACGTGAAACGCAAGTGGGAATTTCGTCTATATGTGTAGCAAATAAAGATGGTTTCACTTTTAATTTCTGTAGAGGCTCGTGCGGGGGCACACTTGGCTGTGAGAAGCAGTATTATGCAATCTGCCTGTCTGTTAGCAGGTATTTCTGGGAACAGCGCAGACTTAAAGGAACACCACTCCTACTGGCGTCGATTCTGACGCGTTTTTATGGCTTAGTTAATATGGCGTTAATGTTAATGGTACCATACAGTAGTTAATGTTTATGTAGACGTAAATCTTTCTGAAACTTGGCGACCTTTATAACGGGTGGTGTGGTGGTACAGTGGTTAGCACTGTTGCCTCATACCTCTGGGACCAGGAGTCAAGTCTCTACCACAGCTCTATGTGTCATCGTGGGGTTTCCTCCAATTACTCCACTTCCTCTCCCCCTCCCACAGTTCAACACCATGCTGAGGTTAATTGCAGTTGCCAAATTGCCTGTGGGGGTGTTTGTTTGTGTTCCCTGCAATGGGTTGGTGCCCCATCCTGGGTTGTTCCCTGTGACCCTAACTAGAGCAAGCAGTTACAGAGAATGGATAGATGGACTTTTATAATGTAGCGTCAGACCTCTGCTTTTAATTTTTGCTTTCGCTCTCTTTATGTTGACAGGCAGTGGTGCATTTGGGTTTCTCTGTGTGTCTATATTATCATTGTTTTATAATCTGTATTATTCTGGGGGGAAATGAAGCTGTATCCTAAAGTGGCCAGTGATGCTGAATGAATTGTCATTATGACCCTTCCACGTTAGAACTTAATCTCTCCAGATGGCTCGGCTTGCGTACATTTCATCTCCCCCCGTGTTTCCCCACAGGAGCTGCAGTCGCTGGAACATTCCAATGCGGCGTATGAAAAAGAGATAGCAAGCCTCCGACAGGAGATTGAGAAGTACGCAGCTGCCCTGCAGCAGCATGAGCCACACTGCTCCCTCCATACGTTCCACCACCTGGAAATTCCCCCTCACTCCTCCACTTCTCCTGCAGCCCCCACCCTCGCCTCTAATCTCGCCCCCGTCCCTGCCAGCCCCCCAACTCCAGAGCTCCAAGACTCTACAGTTTGGTCTGATATCTTGGCGTCCATCCTCTAGGGTATAACAGAGACGTGTTGTGAGTGTCACAAAGGTTGAGGGGTCCTCAACGGGGAAGACATGAAGTTCACAGGTTCAAGGTGAGAAGATGTGGAGCGGGAGAGGAGCCCATCGACAGAGACTGGGCAGCCCTGTGACAGCTACCTCAGGTTTTTTTTAGCAACATCATCAACACCAGCAAGCATATGGGAAAACTCAGTCCGAGTCCTTTTGTCAAAACACTGAATTTTGATTATGGACATTGCTAACCAGTCTGCTGCTATGAAGAAATATTTTTAATTATGATATGCTGTGCAAGAATACAGCAGTTAATATTGTGCATTTTATTATAGTGTCAGTGTGTATTACGTAGTGTGCATATATAGGTGTTTTTTCTGTGTATTTATATAAACTCAGTTGTTACTTTATTAGGTAGCCGTACATTGTACCGGGTTGGGCTCACTCTTGCTTGTCTTCATAATCTTCTTGTTAGCTTTCACCAACCTAGATAATCTCCTACGGACCTCTTTCAGTAGCCAGGCCTTTTCCACAAACGAATTACTGATAAGCAGCGGGCAGTTTGAGTTAATGAGAAGGTCTACCTCATAAATAGCCAACTGAGTGTTTATGACTTCAGATGCGTGATTTCATTGTAGGCTACAATTAAAAAAATATTTATAGACAGGAAAGACCAAGGTATGGTATGGAGGTGCTGAGAACAGTGATCGATCGCAGTATATCTGTAATATAACAAACGCAGCTGGTTCAGCAGTTAGAACTAACAGTTAGAACAATTAATGTATTGTATTGAGCATTTGAGGGCTCAGTGGGGAGTGCAGTGGCATCTGTAGCCCACTGCAGGATGCTTTTGCTCTCTATCTGGCTCTGTATATATGGAGTTTGCGTGTGGTTACTGTGTATGTGTGGATGTGTTCCTGGTATTTCCGCTTCCTCCCACAGTCCAGAAATGTGTGGTTTGGTGAATTTATGTCTTTAAATTGCTGGGTGTGTGCATCACGATCGAATGGCGTCCTTCCCGGGGTTCTCCTCTGCCTTGTACTGACCTTGTACTGGATTAACGGTATGGAACATAGATGTTATTGTTTTCCCACTTGGGGTCGATTTGGATGCATGACATTGTACACTAAGGCCATTAAAATAATGGTTAATGTGACAATTTCCATTTTATTGTATACAATATTTTTTTTTTACTACATTCTTTTGTAAGAACAGAAATAAAGTGTGTATTATTTTAATGGACTGAAATCCACAATGACCTAATGGACTATAAGGCCATAATGGATGCATAGGTTATTGAAGTACAATTTCATCAAAACATCATAAATTACATGCTTGCACTGCTGTTACAAAAAATCTTGGGACAAATCATTAAAAAAAAACCCTGTGCATTCCTCAAAACGGCAATCGGTTCGCAACAAATCCTGTAGAAGACGTTACATCTAAGTAGAGAGAATATACTTCAGCCTGCAGCATCATCTTTCTTTCAGATTTATATATTTCGCTTGTGTGAGATATTGAGCGGTTTGATTGTCTAAATTACACCTTGAAGTAAAGCGTCTTATCCTGCCACAGAACTGTTTGTTCTTACCGCTAGGGGGCAAGTAGAGGTTTCAAATAACCTCTAATCTACCCTAATTCTCGATTAGTTATTTTCTAAACAGCTATGTGGAAAGCAGTCCCTAATTAACTACGGCCATAGTATAACTACAAAAACTATAACTCGCAATATGCAAAAAATTAAACATTGTTATAAAGTGCAAGCAGAAACTGGTATATTGAATTCAAACCCAGGATACATTTGAGCCCTTTGTACAGGACGCATGTTTATGATTTGAATTAAATGAATTTGAATTTCTGAAGATAAAACCTATTTAAGCGAATGCACGCACAGCAAATATATCGATTCACGCTAGACCAAGTTATAAAACGGAAAGGCTATAGAACTCAGATACTTTTTTATTTATTACAAGTGTGTGTGTGTTAAACCAATAAATACAAGTCTTCAGTTATATAAATACATTATGTGTTTGAATGTTTCATATGCATTGAGTTAAAGAATTCGACTGTAATATTTAATTTACTTAGTCAAACACTCACTGAAACCACAGTTGTTTACCAGACTATACAGTAGGATAACAAATTCACTTGACCTCCAAGACGAAAGCGTCAAGATGAAATAGACACGGTCAACGTAACGCACAATGTATGCACTTCAAATGGCCAGGTCCATATATCGACAGGAAATGGACGGTTATGAGACAGCAGAACAAAACTAAAATGAAAAACGACATACAGAAACAGTGGCTTTTCAAGGTATATTACTTAATTAGGCGTAAAACACGGCGACTAACGGGAGACGGTGCCACTTTAGGGAGGGAGGGAAGGGGTGAAGGAGGAGGGGTGGGAAGAAAGACAGGAAGATCATACAAACAGTCAATAGGAGATTCGGGGGACAGCTAAACGGAGGACAATTGGTTCAATACAGAGAATAACCAAAACGTACAGACACACGAATATACAAACGGAACAAAGGAATATAACGTGCAATAAAGACGGAACCAAGCAGCCATTATCCGCAGTGTGTGAATCTGTTGTCTTGCAGCACCTGAGCGCAACAAACACGGAGAAAGACACCGAGCCAACGAATGACACGACGAGGGAGGAAAACTAGAAGGTGAAAAAGGCTGGAAAAACAGCACAAACGACTGTTCGGGGGATCTGCTGTAAGACAGAGCAGAAGAGCGCAGGGTGACAGCAGCATCCGCTAGAAGGCTCGCACATGTCGGCACGTTTGAACTCCCTATCCCCACCCTGCGTGGATCATCCGCTCCTTTCCAAATAACACGAAATACGGCACAAAAAGGAAACATATTATCGAATGACAGACCATCGAGAAGAAGAGGTCGGATGAAATTGGTGAAATTTTGTAGTTAATAGTTTATTTTTTGTTACATATACCGGTGACAATTGGATTTTAACTGAATTATAATGATTTTATTAGATTTGCTTTTTGCAGATTAATGTATATTCGTTATAATACTAGTTGAATAATTGCAACAAATTTATTTTATTCGTTTTGTGTGTGGATCTATTTATTTATGTCATAAATATATAAATAAATACCAAATTTAGGCCGGTGACTTACTGATGACGCCAATACGGCAACGAGATTGTAGTAGACTAATACATATGATGACTTTGATCTCTATATAGAGATATAAATATATAGATATATACGTATATATCTGTGTCTATCTGTATTTACGTGTATATTTTAAATAAACCCATTTTCCGGGTATTAAGACGCGTTCAAACGGCTAATCGCAGTGGACACCTACATTGCTCTCGCAATCTTTAACCTACCTAGCGATCCACTACACGTAATCCTTTCATTTCTCTACCAATGAATTTCTACGAACAATCTAATCGCCATTAATTAAACGTTTCAATACTTTTTAAAGGTCATCCGTTTTAATGTATTAGTTTATTAGTTAAATCACAGCAGCTGCCTTTTTTACTGCTTCCATCATCCACGGAACATCCCTCCTCTTGAGTACCAATACTACTGCAACGATGGACACCACAAAGCTGCCTCCGTCCAGCCCCTCTTCGCCGACCACTGGCTTCTCCGTGCCGAGCGCGGAGAAGGTGGATGGCTTCCCCCGCCGGTCGATGCGCCGAGCGCGGCAGCGCCGCTCTCATAGCTCGTCGCAGTTCCGATATCAGAGCTCCCAGGTCGAGTTGACAGCGCTACCATTACTTAAAGGTAAATCCGACGTTGCAAACCCGATTAAATCTGTAATGCGGAGCATCGCGTGTGTTGGAATATATTAAAAATGCATATATCATAGAAACACCAAAGAACTGGAATCTGTATAAAGAACCTTGAAATCTTTCTAAAACGAAATGAACATAAACGGTTATTAAGGGGTTTTATGACCTCGTCTTAAAGCATTCAGTACTACTGCATCTACAATTTAACTGGTGTGAATAATTAGCTCGTGTTGCAGCATTAGCAGTAAATCATTTTGTTTACATCAGGGCCAAAGAGGGCCTTAATAGGTAATGCTATTAACTTCATGTTCCCACAGTTAAGGAAGCCTAATTTGTTTAGGCTAAATAACCACAGGTAGACTGTAGCCACCAGACTCAAGAAAATAACAAAATAGCCTTTTTTTGTGTGTGGAACAAAAAAAAGTTGTTTCTAGTGTGAGGCAAGCTTGGGGGTTAATTATTACTGAAAATCAGTAATTTTATACAGCTGACTGATATTAGACTTATTTTAAGAGTTTTGGTCACTTCTTCAGGGAACATGTTGTTTTTGCTGATCTGGCCTACTAAGTTGATTTTGCTCTATAAACACAAATGATTCTCAAGACGCCTGACCCGGTTATCACTTGGTCATATTTTTTATCGACATCTTTGGCAATGACAGTGCAAAGCTTTAAATGCTCTCCAGTGGTCAGCAGATAGAGAACACTGGGCCTGTCCCGGCATGCACCTCCATACAGCCTGTTTCATACACAGGCCAGTGTGAGTGCAGTTCATATACTCAGTCTGTCCTCCTCCTAAAAGGTAATGCACCAGGGCCTTATCAATGCTAGGAGGGGCATGTCCGGATGATTTCGGGTGCTGGAAAGCTAGCCTGCCTTGGTTTGTTCTTGAAGATCTCTAATCTGTCCCTTAGGGATCTAGAGACAGAGCTCCTTTCATCAGGTTGCTTTTGAATCACATGATGTTATAGGATTTAAAAATAAAAAAACAAAAAAATGGAAAGTGCTGTCTGCTAACTGCACTTGTGTTTCTTATTCTTTATTTTGTTAGCATGGATATTATTTCAGAGCGAATTGCAAACATACCTAGATAACACTTCTATGCAGGGTCATATTTTGTCAGCAGGCGTGTATCTAGAGATTCTGGGCCCCCTGACAAAATGTCACTTTGCCCCCCATCCACCCAATTTTCTGAATAATGTATTCAATAACTCCTGAATCTGAGTATCATGCCCCCCACCCCCTGATGCCCCTGACCGTTAGATCGTACCTTAAAGGTGTATCCGAAATATCTAGCTGTATGCTATGTACCCTATGACAATCTGATAAGCAGTTCAGCTTTTAACCAATGTAGAGTGCATATCGGATGCCCAGAGATATCTAGCAGATCCAGTATCCAGTGTAAGTGCGTCTACAGATGGAGCACTTCATGATTTTTAAAAAATAAATCCTGACTTTCCACATGACAATATATGACAGTACAAATTAATCATCAAAAATAAACTATTCACTTTGCATCACTTCAAAATATTTGATATTTTGGAAAGAACTATATAGCAAAATGAGTCCATAACAATCAATGTATAGCTTAAATCCTCTAAATGTCTTCATATGTGATATTCTACCAGTACCTCTGGCTGCCTAACATGGCACCATGTTTGCATTTAAAATCTAAGTAACATAAAAAAAAATTAAAATTTGGCATGAGAGCAGGTTTCATTATCCTGTGGCCTACACTCTTAAATGAACCAGAAATTAAGAAGTAATCAACAATCCAACTTCACCTGTTTGACTCCATCTGTGAACCTGAATGGTTTAATCAAACATCTGCTGGGAAATGAAATTCAGAGAATAGTACAGTAATAAAAAGCAACCCAAGGACTGTCAGTGGTCTCTATGCCATGCTGTCAGTGGTCTCTATGCCATGCTGCCAGTGGTCTCTATGCCATGCTGTCAGTGGTCTCTATGCCATGCTGTCAGTGGTCTCTATGCCATGCTGCCAGTGGTCTCTATAGTGGTTGATGCTTTGCAGGTAGCCCAGTGCTCTGCGTGTATACATGAATGCATGCATCTCTCTGCATACGTCTGAATATATTAGTTGTTAGCAGTGACCATTGTGCGAAGGGAGAGAATGCGAGAAAAGCAGTATTTTCATTGGATGTGTTCTGTTCTGGCTCCTTCTTGGGGCTTTCCTCTTCAGGACCTCGTGAGTCTCTCTGATTCTCTTTAAATAGCTGTTTGCCTTAAGCCAAACTCCTCAGTCGAAGCTTACAGCACGATACTGTGCCCTGGTTCCCAGAAATCACACTTTACACTGTCCCCCCCCCCCCTCTCAAACATGAATGCTCTTCAGATATTGTCAGTTTAGGTTGGTTCTGATGGGCATATAGGGTTCATTTGATGTTTATGTCTGCCTGTCTCAGTGCACATAGTTTGATGTGATATGTCTTTGGTTTGGTGTATATTTGTGTACAGGTCATGGCACTGAATAGCTTTGCATTTTTCAGTGGTGCTTTAACTATTGTCTGGATGTAACTGGTTCTGTTTGTATGTTTTGCTGGCTCATATTTGACTGCTGGCTAATCACCGTGCTTGCGTGTTGGTTTGAATTTGCTAATCACCGTGCTTGCGTGTTGGTTTGAATTTGAGCACGTTGAGCCGTGTGTCATTCTATGTATGTCACATTGCTATTGTGTTTGGGGCGTGTGAATGTTATAATGTGTCAATGTGTCATGTTGTGTGTATTTATATTTTTTTGTGCATATGATTCACTGGTGGGTTAGTGTATTTATGCATGAAAAGTTGCAAATATATGGTTGTGTATGCCTTTCTCAGTAGTGGCACACCCTGCAGACTCCGCCCATCCAACTCTCCTGTCTTCCCCCTGGCGTGGCTCCAAACAAGCTTTCTCTTCCCTCCTAGCTGTCTCCTGTTCTCCCCTTCGTCAGTCTTGTATTTAAGTGCTTCCCAGTCCTGTGCTCCCTGTTTGGTCATTGTTATCTGCATTTGGGCTGTGCCTTACCCGCGGACGTGGCAAGTGGACTAGTGAAGGTGTTTTTGTTGTTGTTTATGGGTGCTGTGTGTCTTTGTGCATGAGTATCTGTGCATGTGTGGGCCAGTACATCATTCCCTTACTGGGTTTGTGTGTATGTGTGTTTGTGTGTGTGTGTGTGTTTGTATGTGTTTGTGTGCACATGTGTTTGTGCGCATGCGTGTGCTTCTGCATCTTTGCAAAGTGGAGGACATTTGGAGCAGCTTGGTATAAGGTTACAGCAGATATGGAAACTGCTTCCCATTGCATCCAAAGCTTCACAGATCAATAGCGAATGGGAGGATGCAGAGAAGCTGCTGGGAGGGAACTGGAGTAAATGGCCAGGACGACGGGATCGGATCAAAAGAAAAGAAAAGTGTGAGCGGGGAGAGAAACAGCAGAGCTAACGATGGAGATGAGGTGAAATGGCTGGTAAATGTGTTCACTCTTAAAAGCATTAAAAGAACACAAACAGTCATGGGAGAGACAGTTGTTATTCTTCAAAAATCAATCTCAAACCAAAGAATTTTAACTGCCTAAAGAAAGTGAAATTGACATGATTTTCATTAGTACATCACAAACAGTGAACTAGTCAAACAGTGAACTAGTCAAACAGTGAACTACAAAGAACATAGTGGCCTGGCAAAGCACAGAAGTGGGAGCATTTTTTTAGCGTAGATACGCTTACAGCATTAGCCGTATTGTGTTTTGACTTAAGCATCTGTTACAGTCAATTACTATTAAGGTTCTGTTTGTGTGTTTTAAGTCTGGGGTGTGGGTTGACCCAAAATGGCCCAAACAGAAACATTATTTAAAGAGGAGCACTGCAGCTGATGATCTGCTTCTGGAAAACCTGCAGAGAGTCACAGAAAATATGCAATAAAAATGCAGACAAAACACAGAGACGTGGGCAGAGATGTAGCAGGATGATGTCACCCGTATATCTTCCCCAGTCCCCCTATTCTGTTTCCCTGTATCCCAGTTTTACTTTGTCTTTCTATATTTAGTAGCAATCAGAGAGTTATGGATATTATGCAGTGTTTTATCTAGTGGATCAAAGTAATTCATAGATTACAGAATCAAAGTAAAGTCTTTGCTTTATCTGAATTTGCCTTATCTGAAAGCCAATGACTTAACACCCCCTTCCATCTTGTTCAATTGAATTTAGTTAAAATAGATACATTGTTTACCATTTTCTCGCCGGACAGAAAGATAAGTAATACCTGCCTCCCTTCTCACGCCAATTAATATTTCCTTTCCTCACAGACTTCATAAGGATCCTCTCATTTACTTTGCTTAATCTGTCTCGACCTTTTTATCCTTTTTCTGATTATTTGTGCCAGTGTTCTTTCTTCATAGTTACTATCCATTGAAAATGTAATCAAAGACTCGCCCACCTGTTTTTGTTAAAGCTGTATTACAAAAGTTTGGAACGGGCTAAACAGATTCTCTCATTTGTAAACTCAGTCCTCATTAAGACCACAACAATGTAAAGCAGAATAAATCACCAAAGGAGATGTTTCATCTTCTGCCTTAATAGGCGTTTTCTTCTGTAATAGGCTTATGGGAATCTGCCCTATGATGCAGGCAGGGAATAAGTGACGTAGGCAGAGGATAGGAAACACATCTCTGCACTGAGGCTATTGCTTCTTCAGCTGCACCTGGTCTCTGCCGCCTGTCATGTTGTGTTTTTTATGATAATAACCACTGCTATGCTGAGGCAACAGCATTACGACCATAAATGACTCAGTTTCAGTTTGTTCCCCCTTGCATTGTGGTTCATATAGCTTGCGTTAGGAAGTGGATATCTTTTGTTAATGGATAATGGATATCACTCATTTTCCTTACCAAGCTCTTTGAAAGGATCTGACAGCTCGTCTTTGTCATCCTGCTCTTATCCTGCTTTAAAATGTAGACGCAAAGGCTGTAGACCTCACTTGCTTCTTTCGCAGTTAATCTGGCAATTACCCAGACTCCTTAGGTGGGTTGATTGGTGAAACCTCCCACAGGTTTGGTGCACAAAGGGCAGGGCTGCGAGGTGCATAACTCTCCCCTCTCCTTTCCTCTCCTCTTGTCTCCACTCCTCTCTGCTCCTTTCCGTTGCTCTTTACTCTGTTCTGGTCCTCTGTTCCCTGCACCTCTCCCATTGTCTTCTGTCTGCTCTTCTCCTTTCCTGTGTGCCCCTTTTCTCTCTGCTCCTCCCTTCTCCTCTGTGTTCATCTTTTCTCTCCTCCTCTCCTCTCCTTTCCTCTCCTCTGTGTTTTCTTTTTTGTGCTCCTCCCCTCTCCTCTGTGGTCCTCTCCTCTCCTCTCCTCTGTGTTCCTCTTTTCTCTCCTTCTCTCCTCTCCTCTGTGGTCCTCTTTTCTCTGCTCCTCTCCTCTCCTCTCCTCTGTGTTCCTCTTTTCCCTCCTCTGCTCTTCTCCTCTCCTTTGTGGTCCTCTTTTCTCTGCTCCTCTCCTATGTGTTCCTCTTTTCTCTGCTCCTCTCCTCTGTGTTCCTCTTTTCTCTTCTCTGCTCTTCTCCTCTCCTTTGTGGTCCTCTATTCTCTGCTCCTCTCCTCTGTGTTCCTCTTTTCTCCTCTCCTCCTCTCATCTCCTCTGTGTTCCTCTTTTCTCTCCTCTGCTCCTCACCTCTTTTCTCTGCTCCTCTCCTCTCCTCTCCCTCACTTCTAGATGCTCCCGTGGCAGAGCTGCATGACCTGTTCTGCAAGAAGCTGCAGCAGTGCTGTGTGCTTTTCGACTTCTTGGACTGCGTGGCCGACCTGAAGGGCAAGGAGGTCAAACGGGCAGCGCTCAACGAGCTGGTGGAATGTGTGGCTACCGGCCGGGGGGTGCTGATCGAACCTCTATATCCCGAGGCCATCAAGATGGTAAGGGTGGGGATGGGGAAGGAGGCGGGGTTTGGGAGTGAAACTGGGCAGGAAAGCAGAAGGAAGCGCTGGAGGGCAGGAGTAGGTGAAGTTGAGGAGAACGGACAAAATGGTGAAGTTAACTGTTAAAATCACACAAATTTACCTGTACTGTAAAATCCAGAGTAACTTGATAAAATATGAAATCTTGGAGCCCAAAGTGCTGGGTCTGATATTCTTGAAAGTTATACAATATATGTGCACCATAGTACAGGATGCCTGACTTCCTGTATGTCAGCCATGGTCTGGATAAGAGCATCATGTAATGTGACTCTAAGGTGCCATGCAATGTACTGTGCCACACCTTACATTGAAACATCTCTCCCAACTTCAGATTTCGGTGAACATTTTCCGCACGCTACCACCCAGCGAGAATCCCGAGTTTGACCCAGAGGAGGATGAGCCAACCCTGGAGGCCTCCTGGCCTCACCTGCAGGTGGAGCTCCGTCGTTTCTGCCTCGCCTGAAGCCTCGCACTGATAAGGCTGCCATCTTCCTTCCTCCATGTATCTCCTTCCTTTTCATCTTCCCGTTCCACACCTCCCTCACCTACTGTCCATCTTCATGTTTATATACGTCGACCTGCTTCATTTTCCTATATTTGTGTGTGCATGGGTGTGTGTTTCTGTATCGTTTTGTGACATTGATCCATGTCTCTCTCTCCAGCTCGTGTATGAGTTCTTCCTGCGCTTCCTTGAGTGCCCAGACTTCCAGCCCTCCGTGGCCAAACGCTATGTGGACCAGAAATTCGTCCTGCAGGTGAAGATGCCTTTCTTGAGTTCATTCACCTTTGGTGTGCCGCTTTGAGTTCTGAGGATTAGAGAGGATGGAGGAAGATGTTGAAATGCAAGCGTTTTTGCATGCGGCGGTCTCGGACCGGGTCGATCTAATCGTCCAACCCTCCATGTCCTTGCAAATGGCCACCTGCGTCTGCGTGCGGCATCCCTGCCCTGTACGGCGCAGCTTCTGGAGCTGTTTGACAGCGAGGACCCGCGGGAGAGGGAGTACTTGAAGACCATCCTGCACCGCGTCTACGGCAAGCTACTGGGTCTGCGGGCCTACATCCGCAAACAGATCAACAACATCTTCCTCAGGTCTGTACCGTGTCAGCCATGGTTCATTCCTGCGGGAAGCCTCCTTCTCAACGTGGAAAAGAATAGTGATATTTTATTCACCGCCTACGCCATCTTGCTCTCCATGAGGCACACAGAGTCAGCCAACATCCAGTACCCCTGGAGTCAGTACCCCTGGAGTCAGTACCCCTGGAGTCAGTACCCCTGGAGTCATCAGGTTTAATGACCTGGGATTCAAACCAACAACCTTCTGATCGCAGACACGTCTTAACCTGCTGAGCCCGGCACCTCCCTCCGTTTACATGTATATCTGCTTTATAAATTCATTTGAGGGTGTCCCTCTCTGTGATTCCTATTCCTGTGAATTTATTCTTAGAACACATGTACTTGGCAAACACTCTGTCACAGCTTCCGAGCAGGAGTACTGCACAATAAATGCGAAGAATACCGCGGGGTAGATATCACTGCTGTATCTCTCATAGAAAATTTATATTAGAAGGCAAGTAGTAGCTTACTAACCATGTAGCAATGCTTAGGTTATAGTACAGGCTTATGCTTATAAGGACCAAGGATATTTGACTGGGATTTACCAGTAGACCTGATACTTAAGGGATGAACTTAAGCAAGAACTGATCCTGGATCAGCTGACCCTAAATCCTAATCTTAATCCCAGCTAATTTGTGCAAAAGAGGTCCTTAGACAGGATTAAACAGAAGGGACTGTTGGATGACTGTCCATTGCAGGGCATGCACACACACCAGGCAGTTCAGTACCAACGCTGGGTAGCCTAAAAGCGTGTCCTTGGGCTGCAGGAGGAATCCCGTGCAACAGTGGGAGAAATTGTGAATTTCATACGCAGAACAGAGGTGGGATTCAGTTCTCTGGTGCTGGAGGCGTGAGGCATCAGTGGTATCCGCTGAGCCACCATACTGGCCGTTTGTGGTGTATTGGGCCCACAGCTAAGTAAAACAGGCCCAAAAGTACAAGAAGCCTAGGATGTATATAAATAAGTATAGAGTCCGCATATAGCTGTGCCTCTCGCCTTAGGCACTGGAATAACACATTGTGTCAGCATGCTTCTCTTCACACTTATGAATGAGGTTTTATCTGGTCTGTTTTCTGCTTCTGTCAGGGTGGGGTAGAGGTATAATCTGACAGAGATTTATGCCCCCCCCCCCCGCCCCCCACAGTATCCCTAATATATTTAAATGTCTTTTAAGGAGTTGCACCCTCCAACCTTCGGATGAAGGTTGCACATCTTGAACGGGGTGTCACGTACATTCTCCATATTCGTCAGACTGTCCTGTCTCTCCTGGAGGAGTGTTTTCCATATTGCCCAATGAGATGCTCCGTCTTAAGGACCCAGCATTTAAAAGCTCTGATCTGATTGGTCACACTGAAGTAATGAAATGAAAGTCCCGCTGAAGGATTTGTGAGGGTCCCTCCATAAGTGTCCCTCTCTTTAGCTGGGCTGGGATGCTGTGTTTCTCCGTGCATCACGTGGAGCAGCTAACTCCAGCTCTGAGACAGCGGCTCGCTGGCTGATTTATGGAGCTGCAGAGCTTAACTGTCCTCCGCAAGGAGGAGTGTGTGACAGAACCTAAATGAGCCCCCCAGCTCATCCCCGCAGTCTGGCAAGTGTGCTGGCGGCATGACCTTGCTGGTCATCGTTAGGCCTTTAAATCAGTAGCAAACAAACTGTCCTTTAGCAAGACCGCTACACCTTCCTTCTGCCCTTGGCTCTGCTGGGTCTGGTGTGTGTCCAGCCCGTAGGTGTAATGCAGTTACTATATGTCAGAGGTGGGCAATCTTATCCAGAAAGTGTCGCTGTGTATGCGGGTTTTCACTTATTACTAATTAGGGGACTGATTGGCTGAAGAGTCCTCACACCTGTGTTTGAACAGCTGACCTACAGTACAGGTTATCCTAAAAACCTGCATACACACCGGCCCTTTAAGGATACGATTGCCCACCCCTGCTACATGTCATTCACACCAAACAGCCTGAAGTGAGACTCTCTCCCTACGACGAGGTTTGGGGAAAGGGTCAGAAAGACAGGTGTGCTTTTTGGCTTGTTATTAACTGTATTGCTATTGTTTTGGCTCACCCTGCCTAATCTGCTTGTCCACTGTGGTTCGATGGATTGCAAGATGCTTACAATCTGCATTGTGTGGTTCCAGGTTCATTTATGAAACTGAGCACTTCAATGGCGTGGCTGAGCTTCTGGAGATACTGGGAAGGTAGAGATTTGTGTTTCTCCAAATCGCTGACGCTGTGTGGAAAATAGTGTAGCGCCTGGCCTAATGGTCCTGCGCTTTACCGCCCGTGAGACGAGCTGCACTTCGGAGGGAATGAAGCTGTTGCATCGCAGCTTTTTTCCCCCCCTATTTTGCAGCTTTGTGGTAGAGGGAGAGACAGAGACACGGGGAGAGGATGAGGGCGAGGAAGTGAGTCAGAGTGCTGGGGGGGATGGGGGTTCACGGTGGAGTTTGCTGGTTTGTTCCATCAATGGTATTTATAGCACTAGTCACTCTCTCCCTCTGATATAAAAAGATCCTCCCTTTCCTGTGAGAGGGATTGGTGGAGAGACAGAAAGGAAAAGTAGAGAGAGATCAATCCCAGGAGGTACGGGGAACTGGGAAAAGGGGATGGGGGATCGGATTTTCCTGGGGGGGGGGGCAGAAAAAGGAGGGAGGAAGCCAAGGAGAAGAGAGTCAGAATGCCTGGAAAGGATCTGGGGGGGGGTTCTTATTTCAGGACTCCATCCTTTTATGCGTGGAGGTGGGCCAGAATCTGCAGTGAAAAATAGAGGGAGAATGAAAGCATGTGGATTTGCTCGGGAGGGAACAGGAGTAGGCTGGTGTGATGAGTCTACAGCGTTTGCCATTTGTTCTCACTTCTGTCTCCTCTTCCCCGTACCTCACTCTCCCATCTGCTGCATCCCAAAGCATCATCAATGGCTTCGCCCTGCCTCTCAAGTCAGAACACAAGCAGTTCCTGGTGCGGGTGCTGATCCCTCTGCACACGGCCAAGTCCCTCTCCATCTTCCACGCGCAGGTTAGTGCCCTGACAGTGAGAGGCACCGTGGCAGGTAGGACTGTGCCTCGTTAGTGCAGGAATATGATGGAGGTTCAGGAACACATGGGCTGTACCAGAGGTGGCAATTTCTGGTCCAGAAAGTAAAAATCCAGACCATGATTTACTTTCAACCAACCAGTTGAGCATAAAGAGTCACAGTCACAGAGTACTCAACTGGTTGGTTGAAACAAAATCTTGGTCTGGATTTGTACTTTCTGGACCTGAAATTTCCACCTCTGGGCTGTACCATGTAGATGCACTGAGATCCAGGTAGGCGGAAGTTAGGAAGCACATGCCCAGAGTGATCAGATAATCCATGTCAGGGAGGACACTGAGCTAGGACAGGATTTGTAAACTACCATTTCAATTAAAAGGACCTAGATTTCACTTGCTGTATGCTGATTGGCCCATCTCTTATAACCATGCATGTGTCATTAATGTTAATGTGAATCAGCTGGACAGAGGTGGAAATTTCAGGTCCAGAAAGTACAAATCCAGACCAAGATTTTGTTTCAGTCAACCAGCTGAGCACTCTGTGACAATGATTCTTTATACTGAACTAGTTGGTTGAAACAAAATCTTCTGTCTGGATTTGAATTTTCTGAACCTGAAATTTCCACCTCTGCAGCCAGATGAGTCTTGCAATCAAGAAAACAAACCAGTCAAAACACAAGAAGAAGTGAACTATTTAGCCAAGTACAGGAACCTGAAGTAGCTCAAAGGTGTCCTCCCTGACATGGATTATCTGGTCACCCTACACATGCATCAATAGATGGAGTGTAAAGTAGAATAAGACACAGGCGTTACATGTTTCAGGAAGACAGAAGTATGCAGCATTGTTGGAAAACCACATATGTTTGGCTAACCCTAAGTTCTATAGGTGGCCTCTTGCCTTAACATTGCAAAATAGCAGCTAAAATATGACATTGTCTTGGAAGCAAATCAAATATAAAAATATGGCAATATTTGTCCAGCCTTTCTGGACATTATTTAAGTCATATCTAGTACTTCTTTGAAGTTGTCCTCTTTTTTCATGAAAGATTCCTTTTCAAGATAATTCTTTTGGCACAAGTAAGCGATAAGAAGCTTGCAGCAGTTTGTCCAGATACAAAACAGTTTCGTGATTTTGATTATTCAGTCTTTTTAGATAAGTAACGTGCTAAATTAAATTTTTCTATTTCTTGACTTTGGACTTGGACTTTAACGGATAGCATGGGTATTTCCAAGGCTGCAATACTATCTACATTTGTCCTGATCCGTTTAGTCATGGTGAGAGCGATGTTACGCAATACTCAGCTCTACAGTTACACAGATTCAGTGTTAGCACTGAAAAAAGGTAAAAGTCATTTGTTTGCGTTTGCATCAGCATTGACCAATCAGCTTTGGTATATAGAGGTTCTGTGTGCAAAAATGCCAGCTTACTGTATTTTGGAGAGTTACTGAAGAACGATGATATTAAGGAAACAGCAAAGATATGGGTGAAACCTGAAAGGAAAACAGTAATTCTCATCTGCACTTGAGTTATGAAAATGCCTTTAAGGTTATATTACAAAACTCTTTACCCGCTTTTGTTCCAACATCTAGCTAACTAGCTAGGTCGATTTATGAAGTAACTGCTTATTGCATACTGGTTAAAAATGGAACTTTCAGGAATGGGTTTATGTCACATGTAGGTGGATAACAGTGGAATCTTAGGTAATCACTGTGCAACATGTGCGTAGGAATAAGGTGAGCAGAGAAAGGGCAGGAGCCCTCGTCTGGGACACACATCTAGCATCTGTAAGTCAGTCAGTGTCTATATTTACTTCCTTTAAAGATCCATGAGGGGCGCAGAAATGTGAAATGAGTTTTATATCAGAATCTGTGGGTCTTTCTGGGACTGAAAATAATTTTTTTCCATTCCTGGCAAGGAACATGCTTAACATGTTCTCTGAGCAGGTCTTAGCACTTCCTGTTTTTTGACGCTCAGTGTAAAATTTTCAAGTGACCAGTTACCAAGTGATATGAGGGGTCATTGTATCTGATGGGGCAATGCCAGGCCACAGAACCCGATTTTAAGGCATTTTGAGAAAAAGAAGGGGAGATTAGGGCAATTTCGAGGCTGATCCAGGCACAGAATCATACTTACACTGAAACAGAGAAACATAAAATTATCTTTATATTGAAGCTGAAAGATGTTTAAATTGAGCCTAAGAGGCATGTTTACATTGAAGCTGACAGACAATGATTGCCAAAATCATTGTTGTCTCACAGCTTTCAATGGAGAGTACTTTAAAATAATCTAGTGCACCTTCAGAAAATGGGTGCCACTGATCAAATTTTTCTAACAGCTAACCAGGGAACAATACTAACCTGCTTCACCTGCAGAGGAGAATACCGTGGTGGCAAAATTAATTTAGGGAGCAGAAGAATGAAATAACCTCCATCCATTCATCTATCTTCAGTCCTCTTCTTTGTGATACGGGTCACATTATTAAATAACTTGCTTATCAAATTTTTTATTATTTTAATTCTGATTAATTTAGTATGTGAGAAGAGCTGGAGTAGCTGATTTCATGTGGAAGGAAAGTACAATTACATATCTTTTTTATTACCAAATATTTTCTGTATAATTTCTTGTAATCATCCTGAGTGCAGTTTTTATAAATATTAGGTTTAGATTTTTAAATATTATAAGAGAACAGTATTTAATAGCTCTCTGTTTCAGAAAAACACATGGTATTGTAGTCATTATTTGTTCTATGTTGCTTATTTATTTGTTTTATATTTATTTAGCAAATGCTTTTGTCCAAAGCAATTTATAAGTGAGGCAAATAGTACATTAGTGAGACAAATATTCCATTACATTAGCGCACTACTACATTAGTGATTGAAAGGGATTGTTTAAGTGCTATATATTCACCTGATTGTAGCTGGTAAAATAATGCTGGCATTTGTCGATAATGTTTTTGTTTCTCATTAGTGGTTACCATAACTTTACACTGGACAAGAAGTCATGGGAAAAGAATGGATGATAATGTACATACAGTGCAATAGCTGTCATGCTTATTTTTGATCATTAGAGGGCGTATATGAGTAAAATATCAGCATCGATGATGACAAACAGGATTTCTCCACTGTGCTCCACCATAAATCACAGGCATTATCAATGTGATTTATCACCTGTCAGCTACAGAGTCGCCCAAAACCTCCAGAAGGATCATGTGTCCTCGTTTGCACTGTAAGATGGAGAGCAAAGTAAAATGGCAGCACAGAACAAGTAAATACATGGAAATGAAGATAAGTTTTGACTGTGCAGGAAAAACTACTATGAGTTTAAATTAGTGTCCTATGTGACTTTATCAGGGAATAGTGAATTTAAACCCTCAGTCCTCTGCAAAGAGACGGCAACAGCCAGAGCCTGAGCTCTGATTTGCTCTTTCATTATTTATTTTTCAAGATTTATCATGAATGTAAAAATAAACTACATTTCCTCCATGCAAATACAACGGACGTTTATTTAGCGATTGTGTTATTTTGTAATTATTTTATGGGTATTTGGCCGGTTCTGCCGAGTAGATGTGACCGAGGAGTAGATGTGACCGAGGAGTAGATGTGACCGAGGAGTAGATGTGACCGAGGAGTAGATGTGACCAAGGAGTAGATGTGAATGAGGATTCTGAAGCAGGCCCTCTGGAGTCCCGACTCTCCGTTGCAAATGTTTTAGCAAACTGCTAAAATCCAGACTAAAAAAACTGTTAATTTCCCCACCGTTCTTCTTTAGTCACACTGTCGTGGCAAAACCCCACTGGGAGTGAGACGTTACATAAAGAATAAATTGTTGGATTTGGTTATTTGGTGGTATATATATAACACCGTGTGCTTGGCCCCTCCTGGGCAGCACAGCTCTCTGAATACACGTGTGCGTTACCATGTGCGCGTGTGCAGTCTGTGTGTGTGTGTGTGTCTGTATGTGTGTGTGTGTGTGTCTGTATGTGTGTGTGTGTGTGTGTATGAGTGTGTGTGAGGTATCCCATTTCCATCGTTACATTTATGCCGCTGTGAGAGTGTACCCGGCGCGTATAATTATTGTGATGATCTGGTATATGAGCACTCTCACTGGGCTCTGAAGCCGCAGCGTGGCCTACATTTCCCTGCTTCCCCCACTAGCATCCCCTCCATGTATTATTCAAATCATGCCCCCCAGTAGTATCCCATCCATGTATTATTCAATCCACAGACAACAGTATGTGGGATTTGGGGGAGGGAGGTGTAAAAATATTTATGTTTTTCAGGAGCACCCACAATTAAAAGAAAATGCAATTTTCTGCAATAAAATTAAACACAGATTTGATCTTGGAGAATGTACCCCAAAGCCTTAAGTAATTAACTAGGTGGGCAGGAGAACAGCAGCCGCCACTAGGGGGTGACCTCCGAACTTCAGATGAACTGAGCTTCCAGGTCATCTGAGGAGGTAGGGAAGGAGGGGAGGAGCTGTACCGAACCTGCGACACCAGCATGGGCCACTGAATCCTGCAGGCAAATAGTGGAGGTGCAGTGTGTCTCTGATTATGTGAATTGTTAAATTGTGTGTACGTTTGATAATTTATGGTTTGTTCCAATTGGCCATTGTCATTTTGCTCCCCTTTGGTTTTCTGGAGAAAACATTAGACTGTGTGATATCATTATAAAACTATAAACACTAATGACTGTGCTGAAAAATGATGAACTAGTTATATGCTTGTACCATCCTGAAAGGGCTCTTTGATGCCATGTTCTATATTAAGGTTTGTAATGCCTCTGATTTGAATAGCTGTCACAGTTATTCTTTAAACATCAGCATGGATTAAGATGCAGAAAAATGGCTGTTTTCAGACCCCTCCTCTGTACCTTTATATCCTGCTGGATTCCCTGGACTTTAAGCTGTCAGCTCCTTAATCAGCACTCCCTTCATCAGTATCATTGTCCCAAACCAGAACTTTCATTGTTCACACGCAGCCTGTTTAATCTTAGTCTAATGCTCATTTAAACTAGAAAAATTCCTGTAGCTCTTTGCTCTTTGCTTTTTTTTTCAAGGAATCACTCTAGAACTTGTTAAAGGCCCAGCTCACAAGCTAGGAAGAGAGTTACATCACCCTTTCTGATGTAAACACACACGCAGTCGTTGCAGTGCCTGCTCGCCATAGCGACGATTGTGGGGTGCAGCCGCTGAGCGGAACTCGCAGTGACTTCTCTCAGGATTTCCTTTGTGGTCTGGTGGGCAACCCTAAGGGGAAGGGGAACTTCACAGGTGCCTTGTGCCACAGCTGTGGGCCTCACAATGTCAAAGTGTTCCTCTCATTCACAGGAGCCAAAATGGCTCCGTCTGCTGTTCCCTTTGCAGTGCTAATCATTGTACGTCTGCAGTTTAGAAATGTGTATAAAGCTATAAAAAAAGAAAAAACCTTTGCTATACCATCATCATGTATTATGTGTGTGGGATGTATATATCTATAGCAAGACAGTCTGTATTAAAAGAAAAATGCATGTGATTAGATTTTTTAATTGCAGAAAGCAGGTATTTATATTGATATTTCTTTCTATGAACGCACAGGAGTGTACATAGGTAATGTTCAGCTAAAAACATATTCACAAGCCCGCATATACACTGGGGGATCTTTATTCAGCTGTTGTTCCTGTTACTTATTTAATCTTCCAGTGTATGATATTTGTAGCATTCTATAATTGTTTATAAACATTACCGCCAATAGTTGTGTAGTATTTTTTTAGTGAAATGCCGAAAATGCGAGGCATCTCCACAGTTTTGGTAATGGCGTATGTGTACAGGCTGTCACCGCAAACGAAAAGCAGATACGAAATGAAACCGACAGAAGTGGTTGCTACCCTTGTTATCAACACGACCCTTTTAATTGCTGTCGTGAGCTTTCTAAAGAGCCCAGGAAATGAGAGGCTATGGAGAGCTGACATTCCCCCTTTTTTATTTAAATTTAAGGAAAAATCAGGGCAGGCTCTGTGTACGGTACACCAGCTCAGTCTTCTTCATGTTTTGCCACAAATAAATTAGCCTATAGTGACATCTGAGGAATGTGATTTCGTCTTGCCATCTGTGGACAGATTAGAATCCTCACCCAGGCAGGAACACACATTGGCTGAAGACCCAACCAGGGGCGTACTTAGAGATGAATGGATAGGGGGGCTGAGCATTTACTGGGGGGGAGGGGGGTGGGCTGACAGCAAACTGTTCCCCAACTTGGTCCTTGGGGACCCACAGGCAGTCCAGGTTATTGCTCCTTCCCAGAGAGCTGGGAGGGAGCAAAAATGTGGACTTTCTAGCAGGGAGATTGGAGGGAGCAAAAATGTGGACTTTCTAACAGGAAGCTTGGAGGGAGCAAAAATGTAGACTGACTGTGGGTCCCCAGGACTGGATTGGGAAACACTGGCTTATGGTAAATCTCCATTTACAAAGCCGTGCCCGCTTGCTTATTTCAGCTGGCGTACTGTGTCGTCCAGTTCATGGAGAAGGACGCCACCGTCACAGAATATGTAAGTCCCATCCACCCACTCAACACTGCTCGCACTGGCTTACACTTCCCGGCTTGTGCAACATCCAAGTATTGCTGTTTTGAGACCAGAGCCACTGTTTCCATTAAGGAGCTAGTTGTGCTATTCTGGGAGTATCATGTAACACTGTTATACATTAAAATGCAGTGCATCAGGTCGCTACTGCAACTGCTGCTGTACAAATTGCCTTTATACTATAATGGCTGTACATTGTCCAAGGGGGTACCTGCTGGGACCCAAGAGGGATTTTAATTCCCAAGTGCAGACAGGTACAGAGTAGTGCCTGTATCACTGCTGTCTACACAGGAAGCTGCTGTTCAACGCCATAATGATTCTGTTCCCCTTGTCAGATAATCCGCGGTTTGCTGAAATACTGGCCAAAGACCTGCACCCAGAAAGAGGTGAGAAAGCTGGAGGAAAGTAGGCCGTTTCATACATGCATGTGAAGGTGCTGGTTGCAGGTATGGATGAACAGCTGAAGCTAAACCGGGATAGCCAGGCCATTATTCAGATGGTTTCCGAAGAAGTGCTATGTCTATTTTTATTATACAGTAGAGGGGTTTACTGATGTACAGTACAGTGGTCCCTCGTTAATCGCGGGAGTTACGTTCTAAAAATAACCCGCAATAGGCGAAATCCGCGAAGTAGGATTCTTTATTTATAAATAGAATATTTTCGAAGTTAGAGCATTGGAAACCTGTTCACGACCTTCTAAATATGGCTTTTAACATTATTAGAGCCCTCTAGACATGAAATAACATGAAATAAGTAAGTGTATGTGTCTGAGCAAAAAAAAACAGTTTAATATTAGAACATATAGAAATTAATAGCAGCACAATAATAATTGGAATTTCTTCTGTTCTCAATTTATTGATATCTCGTTGGATGGCTAGGAGAACATTGCTTCAGTTCCCAAAGCTCTCCTCAGTGGCACCTCAGCCCTTCGATATATATGTTGTTAGTTGATTAATAAATTTAATTAATTTAAAAAGTCAGCAAGGTACTGATTAGCCAAACTGGGTGTGCTAGCGGTTGAGTCAAAAAATACATGGGTGTGTAGTAGTGATGGGTGTATGAACCTTGAACCATTTGCTGTATTTATTGACCCCACTAGATGGTGCTCTTGGCTTGCTTTGGTGCATGCTTTGAGCTCTATTATGATGAGAGAGCACCATCTAGTGGGGTCAGAAAATACAGCAAATGGTTTATAAAGCTTCATTTACCCATCACTAGTGTATAGATGTTTATTGCAAATACTGCGGTGACTTCAGGAGAGGTTTTGAAATGGTTAAGCTAACACTTTGATAGACATAATAGTTTACCCTAATATGAAGATTATAAACTTTTTTATTGGGTTTTCAAAGTAACCAACATTTACAAAATAGTTGGACTTGTAAATTATGTGAGCATGAAGATCATTTAAATATCATTTTCTCTGACTGCCTAAGACATTTGCACAGTGCTGTATATCAGTATAAGCAATATGTACACGCATGTAAACTACACCCCTAGGCAGTCAGCTTTGGTAGCTGTTGTATGTTTCTGGCTCTTTTTCTGGGTTGCTTACAACCACAGTTCTGAGTTACTTTGTATTCTGTGGCGTGCAGCTAGTTCACCTTGTCATTTTGATCAGCGGCATTAAAACACTGATGACCGTATGGGGAAAAACTTGATGACAGATATTTTTTGGGCTCGCAAGTCTAGACCTTCACGCAGGTATGAGCTGATGTACTGCCTCTCATGGTGAGCAGGTGATGTTCTTGGGAGAGATGGAAGAGATCCTGGATGTTATCGAACCCTCGCAGTTCATCCGGGTTCAGGAGCCACTCTTCAAGCAGATTGCTGCCTGCATCTCCAGCCCACACTTCCAGGTCAGAGATGACGGGCAGCTCCTCATACGTGTCCCCCTGCCCTTTCTGGGCCACCTCCTCTTCAGCTCTGCCACTTCCTATACCTTGATTTTGTTTTGTATAACTACACCAGGCATACCCTTTACTGGAGTGCTGTTTAATCTCTGCTATCCACCTCCTCATTATCTCCGCCTTCTCGACAGTTCTCCTTCCTCCTCTTTTCTTCATTCTGTCTGTATTCCCTTATCCAACCTCTAAGGCCAAATTCACCATGTCACTGGTGCATCAATTGCATTTCTGCATCTTGTTGCTGTCAGATGGAAAAACTCCAAAAAAATCCATTATTTCAGGAATGTGGAAAAACAATAATTTTCTCAAAAACTATTTCATAAAATAAACCCAAAACAACATAATGAGACACCCTTAGCATCACAAATAGAAACCAGACTTTACACAGCTGTCAGTGAACAGTTTTTAATAGACTTACGTGGATTGTTGTCAGTGAGGCAAATATGTCTGTGTCAGCAAGATGGAAACTAATCTTGCTTTATATTCACAGTTATCAATGATGTTAGCTAGTTATTTAGCTATCAATGTTAAGTTGTTAAAATTAGTGAAATAAAAGTGTAGTAATCCCTATAAATGACTAGCATAAATACAAATGTTTACTACAAACATAAAAACTAGTTAAATAGATGAATTCATGAAACTTTTCATTGGTCAATCGGATGTGAAACACTATCAGCAGACAGAGGAGAACATGTATTTTCTGTTTATAGTATGAAGTCACAATAATCAAAAAGTGGATTTTCGTTGGAGAGCGACAACATATTAGCAAAGCTTTCAAAGTAGTGACCAAGCTGGAAGATATATGATAAGGAGATTTAAATAAGTTCAGCATTTCTCTTGAATAAATATGCCATATGAGCCTTTTTGGGCAGCACTTCTCATGACTTAGGGCTGCAGCTGTTGAGCAGCTCCCGGCTCGCTTTCTCGGAGGACATCAGTGGGCCGCTCTCTTAGCCCGGGTGGGACTGCCAGGTCCTCAGTGTCACATTCCCTTCGCCCCCCAGGTCGCAGAGCGGGCTCTGTATTTCTGGAACAATGAGTACATCCTGAGCCTGATCGAGGAGAACTGTCAGGTGATCCTGCCTCTGGTCTTTGCTACACTGTACAGAGTCTCCAAAGAGCACTGGAACCAGTGAGTCTATCTCCTGTCACCGAGCAACACTCCACAGTTTACACCCCACTTTCAGTAGATCCTCACTGAGCTGATTGAAGATCTGTGCTCAGCTCACAATAGTGATTGACATGGACATTGTTTGCCTACGAAATCTGTTTACATTGGTTGAAATTCTTCGCATGTGCTTTTCAGTCATAAAATTCCCTCTTCCTTTGCTCAATGTACCCAGGACGATTGTGTCTCTCATTTACAATGTGCTGAAGACCTTCATGGAAATGAACAGCAAGCTTTTTGATGAGCTCACTGCCTCTTACAAAGTGGAGAAACAGAAGTGAGTTTGTGTGTGTGTGTGTGAGAGAGAGAGTGAGTGGATTAGGTTTATATTACACTGTGGTGACTAAATGCCCCCCACAATGTGAATGAAACCCGTTATTTTGACATTATACGGACCATTTTTCAGGTCCCCACAAAGATCTGAAAATGCAATCAAAAAACTAAACATGCCTTAAGGTTTTGCCTTAAGGACTTAAGGTTTGAGCTGGGTAGGGGTTAAGGTCATCATGTTGGGGTTACAGTTTTCCCCATAGAAATGAGTGGAGAGTCCCCACAAAGATATAATTACAAACCTGTGTGTGTGTATTTGTGTGTGTGTGTTAATTACACTTCCTGTTCATGTAGGAAGTTCCAACAAATGTTTAACTGGTACGTTTGTATGCATTAACGTGAGATTGAGCAGGTGGGGTTGTGTGTGATGTAGTGTGCTGCAAGAGCATGTGTCTATGTGTGGATCTCTGTTGCATGTAAGTGCACTTGATTTCCTGTCCTCACACAATATTAAATAATAAATGACCTTACAAAGATGCCCCCACATGATACACTCTGAACTTTTAGGTGGTTGGTATGGCACAAATACTTAGTAATAACTGAAGTAGTTACTACTGAAGTACAAATCATGAACAAATATAGTTACTGCCAGAGATAAAAGATGTCATGATTCATAAATGATGAACAAATTTGATTGGTATTTCACATGCGTTATTCATTATTTATTCCTTCATTAGTTCCTTCAGTATTTCACAAAGGTTTACAGAATTATAGTAAACAGTAGCTACATGCATCATGATTCATTAATGATGAATTAACATGAGATCAGTATGTAACTAAGACATTGTCATTAATTAAGAGATACTGTAAGTAAACATATAATACTATATTTGTGCCTTGTCAAGTAAAGTGTTACCCTTTTAGTTTGTCAGCTCTGACATGTTTTTGATTTTGTGAATGTGAAGCAACATGATGTGTTGCTTTGTGAAGTTTATGAAGACCCCAGAAGAACAAATAACGTGTGTGTGTGTGTGTGTGTGTGTGTGTGTGCGTGTGTGCGTGTGTGTGTGCATGTGCACGTCTGTGTGTGTGTGGCCTCCTCCTGACAGGGAGCTGAAGCGGGAACGGGAGCGGGCCGAGCTTTGGCGTTCCCTGGAGGAGCAGCAGGAGAGGAGGCTGATCAGCATGCGAGAGGCCTGCCACAATCAGAGGAACCTACAGGAGCGACCCAGCCCAGCCCAACAGGACACTGCACCCAGCAGCAACAGCGCCACCTAGGGCCAGAGCTGTACTTTCACATAGGAACTTCCCTTCAAACACTGCTCACCACAGGGCTTAGCCTCAGAACAGCATGACTACATTTAGTCTCCCACACACACACACAGACACACACACACACACAAATGATGCCACACAAACACACATAGATATGCACAGACATCCAATCAGATCTACACACAAATGTACACATAATTAAGCATATGAACAAAATGTTTAATAGTGATACAAACCTTCAGTTACACTATTGAATTTCTTCATATTTGTGCAACTGTCCCAAGCATTCCATTACTGGAAGGTTATGCCCTCAGACACTGAGAAACCCAAGCCTAACCACACATGAGAGGCATGCATGTTGGAGAACTACATACACATCGACTGACACGCAGACACACAGGTGCAATGAAACTGGTATTGAACACCACAATGGATATCAGTTAATCTTGGATCCAGCAAGGCCCCGATTAAGAACCACCAAAAGTTAGCATTTCCTTTCTCCAGAAAAAGAGGAATGATGGTAATGATGATAAAGAAATTATCAAATAATACAATTCATACTCCTACTTCTAATATTACTAGTTTTTATATATCTATGAATAGAGTATGACCATATGACCAAGGAAAACGTGGTACGACTGGTGCAGTCATATGCTGCTAGACTGAAATTACTCTAATGTACGAATGATTTATTGTAGTTCCGTCACATTCTCAGATGGGATGAGAAACCATTATTTCAGCAATATTAGTTTTCAACACGTCAAGGTTTTTCGCAGTGGGTGGAAATGGGCAAGCATGAGGACTCTGTACTGTCGTTTAGTACGTCTGTCTACATTCATTTAATGCTGAAACCGTTTTGGTGCATATTTTGTTTTTTTTTTTATCTTGAATTTTATATTTTCGCCTTATTGTTTCTCTTTTGTTTAATTTAAATGTGTGGCCCTTGAGGAGAAGGAGGGTTGTCAGTGTTTGTATGTGCATTTGCACAATTAGTTGTGCACACACACCTGTGTGAATGATTTGTGTATATGTTGGAGGTGGAAGTATGAAAGAATTTATTTGTGTGTTTGTGTGTGTGCGTGTGCGTGTGTTTGAGGGATAGCGAGAAGGCATGCTGATTAAAGACAGAGTGGAATGGAACATTGGAAGGCTGCGGGGGTGGGGGGAGGGTGTCTCGGTGTCACTGTGGTGCCCCCAGACTCGTACTTTCAGAGACCACAGTTGGAATTATAACACTATGATTGTGCTTTAAGCTTCTTGAAAACTGTAGCTGCTAGTAGCTGGTTTCCAGTACCAAACCACCATTCCTCAACATCTCTGACCTGCGTTCCTGTTCATTTTGCATCTCGTACACACACCCTTTTCTGACCCACAGCCCGTTTGGGTCAAACTGCTGGAATGATGACTATTTATTTATAGACCAGAAGTAATTGTAATCAGCTCAGAGACAGCAATAATACGAGACTCTACCAAAACATGGAGGTACCAATAGCATAGCAGAACCAGAGATTAACACTCCTCTGGAATTTCAATTGCGTTGCAACATGGCTTGGTATTTTGGGGACAATCAGCCTTGAATGAATGTGTCAAAAGGTGACTTAATTAGGAAAAATATTTATTATTGAATATATTGAAAAAATGACTGGAATGGTCTTTTTTTGTATGTCGCTTTTTGTTGGCCAGAATTCACATACAGACACTCAGGGTCAGATTGGCACATATGCATGTTCCGATTTATTCAGAAAGTGGTAGGAAATCTTAGTCGGGAGTGATTTCAATATCACCATTATTTACCTGCTGTAGACGGACTAGTTTTCTTCTGTACTGAATTAGACAGTGAGTGATGTATATAGCCTAATGCCAGATAGCCTGCTTTTGTACGGTTCGGGACCAGTATATAGAACTGTGTGTGGGCTGGGGGGGGGTAGGTTTGGGGTTTTAAAGCAATGACAGAGAAACTGAACGGCACTTAAGGCAGCACCAGTGTGTTTAGACTGGGCAGTAAAGTCACACAGTGTATCTTTACTGGTGTTCTCAGCAGTTCCACATTTGCTCTAATTTTGTTTGTTGTAAACAAATTGCATACTCTGGTGATTTCCTTCCCTGTATGTGTACCAACATCTGTCCCAAAGTTTTGCTTTTTGATGCTGTCTCTCATTCGGTGTAATGGGGACCCACTGTATGCTGTGGCCACATTCAGTCTGCTCCTTACATAATTTGTTTTCATTGAGCTAATTAATACTTTTATCAAATTAACATAAACGAGGATCACCGAAAATGCACTTGGGATTCTAGTGATGTTATTGGCCGTGTTCAACAAGCATATTGGAACGCTTACTGGTTCAGCCAGGCCTGGTACAAAGAACAACTCACAGTGCACAAATAAATAATAGAAGATACACGTGGAATGATACAGAGAAAAGTATGACTTAGACATTTCACATATTTATGTCAGTTACTCATTGTGCACAGCTGTTCATGTTGTATCATAACAGTGCATTTCTTCCCATAAGGCTAAATTTGAAAAGCTGTCAGATGATTTTATTAAACACCTCAGTCAACACTGATTTTTATGAGGTCATGTGAGCTAAATAAATATATAAATAAATAAAAACCAGCGAACACAGTGGGTCCCCACAACTACTGTGAATCATCGGTGTGTATAAGGTTGTAGATACTGAACGTACACCTTTGATTTTTCACATTAGTGATGCACTCATCTGGCCTAATATTCCACACACACAATTACAAGCTCAAAGTCTGATCAAAGGCAAAATGTGTTAGAATGACACCAGCGGAGGAAATGAGGAGTATGTGGACAACGCAGGGCCACTGACTGGAGGTCTGGGACCTGCTGGGCGCCGAGACTAATTGACATGAATGCTCTTAGAAGGTTGCTCTCACCTGAAATAATACCTTAAAACTGTCAGAGAGCTTATTTATAGTTCTGAGGCTGGGATTTAATATGGTCCCCACCGATCGCATGAACATCTTTTGTTTTCTGACAGAAACCCATAACTCCCCATTTCTTCTCGTCATCTTCATATTCTCATGCTGCACCATGAGCTCCTTCTGACCACGAGTTACACTGAGTTACCATGAGTTACACTGACAACATCTACAATAAATTACTTGGTACTATTTTTAAAACACAACATTTATTTTATGGACTGGGTCCTAGTCGAACTGACGGGCTCCCGGCTGCTTGTTAACAGGCAATGTGCTGTCCACAAAAACTCAAGTCTTGACGTATCTTCCTAACGTTATAGCCTCTTTGTGTATTTTTCTTTATCTTCCTTCATTTTTTTTACTGCCTCATCTATTGTTTCATTATTTACATAGTTTGTAGTTTAACATGACGCTTCAAATAATATTACCCTGGGAGACTAAAGATCTTTGACACGTATTTATGTAGCTTTTTTCTTAGAGCAATATAACTATCTTGCTTAAACGAACTAAAACAGTACCACACTTGATGTAAAAACCAGTATCCTGAGGCCCGGAGAAGAATCATTTTATAGGGGTGTCCAATATCACATTGTCTTTCCTGGAGTTTTATTTCAATTGTCCTGTCTTAGTATTATTTCATCTTTGATTCCTTTTTCTTTTATCTCTTCCAGAAGCAAAATGTATGAATGACCAAAACGAAAAGTACGGATAAATTAAAGGAAAATCATTTGTTCTCACTAGATGAGAGACAGCTGCACCTTGCTTTTGTTGCCTGTAGTGGAACCCAGCCGCTTCGGCGTCGTTTTATTTGTTTTTCTACACTAAAACCTCGTTCAAACAAGAGCTTCTGTAACTAGATATAACATGTTTTAGCTACAATTTCTGGCGGAAAAAAATAAAACCGAGAGAACGAAGAATGTTTTATTTAACGAAGAAACAATAAAACTTGTCAATTAAAATAAAAGCGAATGTTCTTTTTAAGAAGTGCACGTTTTGTGTTTTTTTTAACAGTTGTTTATTTACTGCAATAATTCAGCTCAGTTTTTTCATATGAATTTATTTAGATTTATTTTGTTTAACTTTACGTTTCGGTGTGAGCATACAGTGAATATACATAAACGATACTCTGTATTTTTTCATTTGACTAATAACTTAGGTATTTAGGTTCGCTGTAGGCAATTCAGGCAGTTCTCACAATATAGTCCTTTTCTATTGGATTTGCTACATTTAATTGCATTTTTATTTTTAATTGCTATGATGTCATGGTTCATGTCCTTTAAATAGGGATAAAAACAACAACGAAGACCTTCCATAGAGACATATCTTCTGACAAGCAAAGCGGGTCTCTGAATTATCACTGAATCTGAAGTTCTTTTAAAAAGGTAAGTTTACATTTGGCGATTGTAGTTTATTAGTTCAATTTTTGTCTTTTCTTACAGGATTTAAAAAATACGGATTACAGAAGTACAACTTATAGAAAGGGCAACAGCGTCATCTAACAGCATATTAAAGATGATATATCACGGTATACGTCATTTTTTAGGTTGTGCTGCTCAAAAATGTTATTACAGTAAATAGAGGTATTTTCATTCAATCCATTCAACCGCTGATGATTAAATAAGATTTAAGGATTGTCCAATCCATCAGCAGTCCGTCTGATTCAAGCCGTCGTCCGGGTTCACTTAACTTGAAGTTGCACCGCTGACCACTAGGTGGAGAGCTGCGTGAATGTTTTTTTTCAACTCGCATCAAAGACATAAAAAGGGCATGATGTTTATATGTAGTATTGTGTTTGTGTGTGTCTATAAATGTTCTAATAAATTTATAATAAATTATGTAAAGATTATAAATTCATATATACTGAATTATGATATCCGTAAGACTCAAGGAAACGGTGTTATTAGGTGCTGTGAAGTGGATATATATAGACAGCATTCCTGAAGAATGTTCTGCCTTCTGTAAGGCAGCAAAGTTGGTAAGGCTAATACTGCTGTAATGGTAAGCTGTGTGAGGCTTCGCCGTCCTCCCTCCTCTGTTAGAATGCAGCCTCGCTCCTGTTCCCTCTTCTTCATCCTCTTGCTGGGCACCGGAGCCCTTTCCGTGTCTGTGACCCTGGAGACGTTCCGTGGCTGTGCCGTGCGCCAGTTCTCCTTCCTGGCCCAGAAGCCGGGCTGTCGAAGTCTGCGCATCACCACCGAGGCGTGCTGGGGTCGCTGCAACACCTGGGAGGTGAGGTAACGCGCAGCGCCCCCTGCTGGTCGACAGACCTTTTTTTGACTTTCCTTATTTGTGTGAGCGTAAGGGGCGATTCTATGATGTGGCCCTTTAAAATTCAGGACACCCCCTACCACCAATTAAATTTGCAGAGTGGGGAGTACAAAACGTATTGAAAAATATGGGAGAATTCACTAAATGGTTTGTAGGAAAAATTACTTTTCAGGGTAGCTGAGACAAAAATTCAGCCCCCCCTAAATAAAGTCTAGAACCACCTCTGGTTAGTGTACATTTATTATCTATTCCCTGCAGCCTTTGTTAGCTTTGAAATCAGCATCTTATTTTCATGCTTGTTTTCTGAACACCTTGCTTTGCACTGGTGCTCGATTAGTGATGCCTGACTCATGGGACCTGCTATGCTCTATGCATAAGACACCCGCTTCTCTTCCATGTTGTTCCATGGCTGTGGGGCTCTACAGAAGCCACTCCCGGAGCCTCCCTACATCCAGAGGCATCACCGCGTCTGCACATACAGCCGCATTCGGTACCTGACGGCTCGCCTACCTGCCTGCCCGCCTGACGTCTCGCCCCTGTATCCCTACCCACTGGCCCTGCAGTGTGACTGTGCGGTCTGCTCCACCCAGGACACGGAGTGTGAGACCTTCTAAGCGTGGGTTTCCATGGGCCACAGGGCAGGAATACAGGAAGACCCAGTACAGCGCAGCTCGGCCTGGGGGGAGCAGCTCAGACACAGCAGACGTCTGCTGTAAGCGGGTGGTTTAATGCTCACCAGTAGGTCGTAGGTACACAGCCGTGGAATGAGACTGCTTTTCAATGCCTAAACAGTCGGGTGACTTTCATTAATCTAGCAGTATGAGCCGTTCAGTGTAAAAATGTCAGCTTCTCATGCTTTTCTGTATAACCATTAGCTAAGCAAATGTGATGTAAGCACAGAATAACACTCCCAGGGTGACAAATAAGCTTTTATTTTACACAGTGCAGTGATTACAGCACACATAGAGGGCAGCAGAGAGTCCTGCAAACTCCCAATTACAGTGTGTAGCCCCACTGATCAGTCCCATCTCTTGTGCCTATCAAAGATCTAGATTTGACTCTCATTTCGGTTAACAGCATATCTTTGGCACTTAAGAGTCCTCAAAATGTTACGCTTATAAATGTAAAGTGCACACATTCTTCCGTCACTGATGACATCGGGCAGTGGAATGAGATGGACAGCAGAGTTGGGAGAACAGGGCAGACATGGCGTGTCTGCTGGGTATCTCTGATGCTCTGGTAGCCAGAGGCACCTGCACGCCCAGCTCAGTGTGTAACACCAAAGCTCTTATGGGATGGCTGTTCTGTATATGTATTCACACATATGCACTGTTACAAAAAAACTGAATTAACATGAATAAAAAAAAATGTAATCTTGCTTTTTATATTAGCTCACCCTGTCCTCTGTGTCTCACTCTATCCTTGTACAGAATCCTGCAAATGCTGCATCTACACATTTTTCAGGACCTTTTCATACTAAACCGTGCCTGACTGTCAGTATGTAATGAGAAGGCTAAGTTTATAAAGCTAGGCAGTTAATTAGTTCAACGTAGCACTAACGTGAGTGAAAACCTGTGTAGACATTATCTTGGCAGGGAAGAAGACCCACTAGCGCAGGTTGTTGGGGTTTGGTGTCTGCTTTTGCTTTGCCCGCCGATGTCACGTAGGGTGACAGAGTGACACGGTGTCAGCTGTAAGTGTCAGTAGCGTGACTTGCGGCACATGTCACAGCGACAGGCCCGTGCACTCAGGATCTCGATGTCGTCATGGTGATGGCCGTGAGGGCAGTCCAGGCGCACCCTGACCTGGGGGGGGACAGACATGCAATCTCAGAGCCGCACACACACGGCAGACTGTATGCAAGAAGCGAGAAACGGCTCTGAAGGTCGCCCGTTTAATCCTAGGACAGGTTCTGCTTAGGGGTGATTCTAGGACTTGACCCTTAAGGGGGGCTCAGCTCCCTAAGGAAATATGGGGCACCCCCTTCCCCAGGCCCCCACGATTAAATATGCTGAGGGGGCTCCCCCAACATAAAGTTGTAAGCTTACTAAGTGCAGGGAGTGAAATGTGCACAAAAGCAAGGAAAAAGTCATTAAACAGCTTCAGAAAAGTTATTTTCACAGGGGCTTAGACCAAAAATATGGTCTGGAACCACCTATAGTCTGCTGTCGTACCCTGTTAAGCTGAGGGATTTGTTACGGACAGCAGCATGGGCAGCCCTACAGTACCTTGGTGTCCTTGCTGATGGCGCAGCAGCGTGAAGCAGAGGTGATGTTGTGGGTGAAGTTGGAGGCCACCAGCACTGCGTAGCGTGAGGGGAAGGCACTGGACTCGCAGTAACCCACGCAGGCGTACACCATGTGGGTCCCTCGACACGTCCCCCGCCGGTCACTGCGGATCGTCACATTGAATGCTGCAAGAGTCACAGATGTGGAGTCAGGGCTGTATATGAACAATGGCTTATGACTGGAAGAGAAACGGGGGGCAATGTTTAGGAAAAGAAAAATGTTTCATGAACATATCTGCTGGATTAATGATACCCTGTAGCTGGCACTAAATACTTCATGAATAACTCAGGGTTTGACTCCCAGGGTTTGACTCCCAGGGTTCTCCCTAAGTTCTACATTGGCTCTCTGAATACTCTGGTAGCTTGGATGCCCTTGAACGTGTTAAGAAGTGGTGGTGGTGGTGGGGGGGGGATCTCACGATAGAGATGGCAGCCTGGACTCAGTCCATCATAGCTCCAGCCCATGGGTGCCAGCAGCATCAGGAAGAAGAGAGGCAACACCAGGAGGAGAAGGCCAGGCGTCACGATTTTACTAGGAGACATGGGTACGGTGGCCTGCATGGGACAAAAAAAAATGGTCCAGGACAGTTCTATACAGCAACTTTTAATTAACCTGGACAGGTAAATAAATTCAAAATCCTGTCGTTTTTAAACATTTAAAAATATGTTTTCCCATCTGTTGTATCCAAGTACAGATGAAATATTCTACACCAGCCTTGTGTCCTGTGTTCCAGGGCCCTAACCCAGACCCTGACCAGAAGAAGTGCTTAAAAGATAGATGGATGGATGGATGGATGGTTGGGTGAACAGATATTCTACAAAGGCATCAGTTCATATTTAATCTCTCCAACTTGAATGCATGAATTTTTTATCTGAGGTGATCTTTGTAAGGTTCCCAGGGAAGTGATAATCCTGTCTAAATGCTCTCAAAATCTCTGTGTTATTCATCTGCCTGCAACAAATAATGGAGTTTAAACACAAGAATGCATGGTATTCACATTGTACACACAAACATACAGTCAAATACCACAAACTCACAAACAGCACCCCAATAATGTATTAATATAGATTAACATCAACATTTACTTACATACTTTCACCTAGTGTCTACAACCCTGAGTTAAAGAAAAATCTATTAATGTGCCTTAAACCATGTACAGATTGTCTATTTCCAGTAGCAATAATCAGTTTGCAAGAACACTGGGCCAGTGTGTGGCTCAGCGGACTAAGCCTCTATGCCTGTGATTGGAAGATTGCAGGTTTGAGCCCCAGCAGAAGAATTACATTTCAGTGGGTCCCACAGCAAGGCCCTTAACCCCCCCCCACAAGATTGCCCTTACCTGTCTTGGGTGTCTCATAAAGAGTACGATGGTGTAAGCGAAGAGAGCATTTCCTCATGGGGATCATTAAAATATTCTAAACTCTAAAGGTTTCAACTGCGTCCTCATAAATGAAGTTATCACAGTAAATCAACAAGATATTTATATTTTGCTCTGCCAGTTCATACACTAATAATTCAATACCCTGAATAAAAGTCTAAACAGGTGTTTACAACATATTCCATTTGTTGCTATAATTTATAAATAACTGAAGCTTGCAAGTAAAAACAAATTAATTTGCATAAAACACTTTAATAATGACCACAGCAACAAATATTTATTATTGCGCTGGTTGTGAATGAGCACTGTTGCTATAATAAATCCTGTAATGTTTTCCTCTGGAGTGAGAGTTCACTGGCTGTGGACATGACCTGGCCCTTCTTGCACTGTTTCCAGTGGGACAAACAAGTCATGTGGCAGGATTGCATTGGGACCCTGATGCACCCCAGCAAACTTACTCATTTAGGGTGGATTTTAATGCTCCACACCAAAGGGTGGGTGAGTGAGTGTGAGTGTGTGTGTGTGTGTGTGTGTGTGTGTGGCGGGGGGTAGGGGGACTGGAAGAAGTTAACCCGGTAAAAACATACAGCTTGAGGTCATTTATGACTCTTACATGCCTCACTGCAATGCATGGTCACTGTTTTTTTTTTGTTAGACTGGCTGCCTTAGCTATTACACTGTAATTCTTTGCAATAAATTGTCTCTCAGTCATTATTATAAAAATTCCACATTCCCTGTGCTCTCTTTTCTTCATCAATCATTTCCCCTGTGCTTCCTGTAAATAAAGCTATACGCTATGTCAGAATAAGTAAAGCCAGATTGGCGAATTGAAAATCATTTCACAGTCTTCCTGCCAACACTGTGCTCTGACGGGGAGAGGGTTCCAGAGGACTGCCATACACATCGTTCACAATATGGGTCTCTTATTAGCAGAGACAGGGCATTGATCTAAAGGCTTACGTGATGCTGAACACAAAGCAGAGACATATACTACTGGGATGATGAAAGAAAACTGGATTAAAGGAAATGTTCAGAATAATTAGAAATGGCTCCAGTTTCTACTTAAAAGGCATTATAAACTGTCATATTCTCATCCTATATATGTGCGATATGTAATTTCACTAAAAGCTCAGTTTCATTATTATAGGTTAGACTGGCTCTGTTTATAATTAGTGTAACACTCTTCATTTAGATATGACTTATGTCCCTATAACAAAACATTTTCTAAATGAGAAATTCTCAATCTACAGTGGCCATAAAGATTTATTAGTATTTATTTCAGCCCATTTTTCTGAAACGTAGGCGAATGCGTCTTAACTTCTTTGGTACCCATAAAATTCTAATCAAACCACCAATATCAGTATTCAGGACAGCACTGTCCTATTTGATGTCTCTAAGCTTTGGAAGACTTTACATAAAAGAAGAGGCTGACCTTATCACCACCTTCAGTGCTCCCAAAGGGAGTCATCTTACAGATTACTGATAGAGAAGATGTTATGTTTTACACTAAAAGGCTAACAGGAACTCATCTGAAGCAGAAGCTTAAAAAAAAAAGTTGCTCAGTAATGGTTCCAAGAAGTAACATTCATTCATTGTGAAGTGTTCCATAATGAAACACTAACCTTATTCTGTACCTTTTAGTATTTTAGTGCAACAAAAATGAAGCTGTCAGGTTCCCATGACACGTTTCCAAATAATACAGATTTCAACAAAAACACCTGCAACACAATGTCTTTAGTAATGAAACGTTCTACACTAAATTACAGTGCTCAATTCAATAGCTAATGAGGCCATTTGCAGCAGGAATTAAAGTATCAGAGGTAGACAGAGTAGCATTATGTACAATCACAGGACAGTGCTGTGCGCCGGGCAGAGCGAGGCTGTTGTTACCTGTCAGTATGCAGCGGGTTCAGTCCAGGTGTGGCCAGGTGTGTGGGGACAAGCTGCTCGCATGCAGCTATTTGTAGCGCAGGTGAGAGCGAGCCTCGCTCTCGCCCACCCAGTCACTCCCATGATGTCATTCCCCAGAGCCCTGTCCCCCCTCCTTTACCCCGCACCTTCCCAGAAGGCTGCATCAATTTCCCTTCAATCCTTCGCCTTTTCCTCACTGCGGTCTCTCCTCATCTCCACCACTCCCTGTCGTCTAACTACTACGAGAGGTGGACACTGACAAAAGGGGAAAAAAATGGGAGAAAAGTAGATACGTTTCCCATCACAGGAAACGAAATCAAGTTGATTAAGTTTGCCATTCGTGTTTTAATTGGATTTTAAAGCCAACTTAGTTACTCAGTTTCCATATATAAGTATATAGAAAACTTTTTGTGCAATACCTTAATTGATATTATGTGTCTGTGCTGTGTTAAAGTGCTCTAGATATGCTCATGGCGGTGCTTTTGTCTGTATTTTCCATTTTCTGAGTAGTTCAGTGATGTAAGGAATAAGGGCAGAGTCGGGTCAAGCGATTGCGGGTTTGGACGTGGTGCTAGGCAGGCTAGGCTGTTTCGTGTATTTACCCTAAAAAGATGATGCTAGTCTAGTCTGTATTGTGTTTAAATGTGCATGTGTTCCACACTATATTGCTTTCATCCGTTATCCCCCATTAATGTAATTTATGTTTTGTATTAGAATAACCAGGCGCATTCAGTCATTGTCCCATTTCCAGTTACGTGCACATTCATACAGCAAAGTCTGAATCTTAAGGAGTGAGCTAAAGAACAAAGGGGAGAAGTACTGCCCCCAATATGCCCTCTCCTGCAGAAAAAAAGTCTGGCAATGAATGAGAATTGAGGGGGCATCGGGTATACGAAATTAAATGCCAGTTAATGACAGGGAAAACCACAGTAATGTTCTCCGTTGGTGTAATGGTCCTCAAAATAGATGGGTAAAGTGGAAGCGGACGCATTGACAATATTATCCTTGTTCAGGACTAGGTTTCCAGGTAACAAAGCTGAACATTTAAAAATAAAAACATTCTGGGGAGTCGCATTCCTGTGCCGTGACATCTGAATTAGCTCTTTGTATCATCTTAAATTCTTTTTATTCCCATCATAATTTTAATGTGATTGTCAGCTCTGCCTGTCCATGTCAGATTTTCTTTTTACAGTAGATGATAGGAGACTACAGAACACACCAGCGTGGGGATGTGTCCTTTTTACTGTGCTTAAGTGGTAATTAAGCGATGAGATCACCTCATTCAGGGAAGTCCATCAAATGCACTTTAGGGATAGAGCTAATCAGCAAGCGCGCAGAGAGACACTCGTTTTTAACTGACAAAGATGGACGGACGAGGCCAGGTTTTCCAAACAAAGCGTCTGGCTCGTGTCAGCGTCAGGAGAATATTTGTGGCTTTGTTTGGCAATGGTCAGCCCAGGCATTTTGGCCTGGCAGAGGTATCCAGGCGGAACTGTTGAGGTCAATGTCTTTAACGTGTGCTCATCATGGCAGTAAACTGCTCTAAGGGTTTCTTATGGAAAAGAAAGTCTGATGGCCCCCCTCAGTGTATATTCAGCAGAAAAAAAAACCCAAATGTGCTGATTTGCATGCTGGGACTGACACAGCAGGCCATTCATTTGGATTGAATCAGTTATACAGGGACCTTTCATTGACAGTCTGATAACACAAGCAGCATTCCTTGCACCGAGAGTTATCGATTTGCTTTGCCATTTTTCAGATTTTAATCCATTACAATACACTGATAAACTTTCCTCATGAAAAGCTTAGACTCACCCAGCCATTTTCTGAGACCACTTGTCCTATTCAGGGTCGCGGGGGTCCAGAGCCTATCCTGGAGGCTACGGGCGCAAGGCAGGGAACGACCCAGTACGGGGTGCCAGCCCATCGCAGGGCACAAGGCAGGGAACGACCCAGGACGGGGTGCCAGCCCATCGCAGGGCACAAGGCAGGGAACGACCCAGGACGGGGTGCCAGCCCATCACAGGGCACACTCACACACCATTCACTCAAACAGGCACAGCTTCGGGTAATTTGGTAACTCCAAGTAGCCTCAGCATATTTTTAGACTGCAAGAGAACATGCAAACTCCACATATATGGAGCCCCGGTGGAGATTTGAACCCAGGTCCCAGAGGTGTGAGGTGACAGTGCCAACCACTGTGCCAGCCATTTAGACTGACTAAAAATGGCAAATTTACGATACAAAAGAAGTAACCTTGCTAAAATTTGAACCAGCTTTATCACTGTTTTAATATAACACATGAAAACTGACAATGAAATACAATATCATGTCAAGTCAAATATTCCCTTTCTGTAAGTATCAATTCATCTGGCTAACCTGAAGCCTGATCCATAAAACATCATGGATAGGATGATAGTACGTGCATGTAAATGCACATGAACTACGAATGACAGCCAGGAATAAATTAACGATTAAGAGAAGTACACATGAACACACACAAAAAAACTAACACTGATTTTACTTCAATAGCAGTGCATTAAAATGTTACCCAATGTGATTTCCATATTTAGATCAAATTATGTGCAGAGACTGACAACTCTGCCTACTGCTTATGTTAAAACGGACACTCCTAAAACAGTAATATTTCAAACAAAGGTACAAAGAATGGTAACTTCTTGTAACCACTGAAAGGCTAATAAAGACACTGTAGTTTTCTAGCACAACAAATCTATGTAATACTATTTAGAAACACAGAAACACTCAGGCATAACATAGTCTTTAGTGCAGTATTTAAAATGCATTTTTGAGATTCAGAGGTAAGAAGTTATAGAAACTTGCATATGCGCTGTAAAGAAGTGGAAGAGGGAGATATGCTGGGAGCCGTGACTGAGCAGAGAGCAGCAGCGAATCTATTTCCTCTCATGTCCAAAAAACAGGGAAAATGGAAAGATTTTTCTGGTGAGGACAAAGCGAGAAAAGATAACCAATATTACACACACACACACACACACAAACAGACACACACACACATTATATGTGCATGTCTGCATGTGTAACGAAGAAGCTACAGTTATTACAATAAAAAAAAGAAATATTAGAAGGCTGTAATTGATTAAGTGCTGGCTTGCTTTTAAAATGCATCTCAGGCGATTGGACCAGAAGTGGACAGCTGAGACACATCGGAATTTAAACCTGAGTCTATCATGCATCTCCAAGGTGTCCAGCTGACCACCTGTGTTCAGATTCCGTTACTGCTGACATCAGTGATCAGATCTCCATGCGTCTTGGTGGCCATTTGCACTTGTACTTAGAGCTGTCCACTTGTGATCTGATCGCCCAAGAACGCATTTACCAAGAGTAAACAGGGCATTTAAATCAGAATCTTATCCTAGCATTTTAATAAATGTTTTGAATCCAAAAAAGGATTCACAATCATGCTCTGCTGTGATATATTTTTTGAAACACGATTCTTCATTGGAGCTGGATGTAGTGAAGCATCAGGGAGCTCAGATGAGCTCACACCCTGACTGCATGCTTAGTCTCACCTGGCCAAGCTAAGCATGAAGGATGTATCACCGCTCTCCGAGGGCTCGGGTGCTGGGGCTTCAGATTCACACGCTTCTGCTTCCGTAACATGCCCCTCTTGCTTCCCCTGCACCCCCTCTGGCCCCCGCCTCTCTTGGTGAATCACGACCTTATTGGCTAACGTAGCGGAGAGATGACTCAGCACCATATGCATTCTTTCAATGCAGACTTTTTATTGGACAGGTAAGAAAAAGAGCCAATGAGAGGTTTCGCTTCACTCATTGTCTCAGTCTAGAGTTGAGTCTACTGCATATGAGAAGTTTTTCACGTACCTGGACTATAAGTGAATGGGCTACCTGGTCTTGGGGGAGTCAGCGCTGAACACGCTGGAAACTGAAGACAGGAAGGGAGGACAGGCTAACTATGGCTGTACTTGCTACAGATGGATTTCCCTATTGTCTATTATTTAAACACTATTGTACAGAAAGCCCACGACCCTTACCATGTAAAGTGGTTAGATGATGGATAGAAAAGCTGAATAATGTGTCGGCCTTGTGAACGTGTGCAGTGGTAACAGAGCTGGACGTGCAGGTGGGTGCTGATGGGAAGACAAGGTGAGCCTTTGTGAGGCTTAGAAAGGCTCAACTCACCCCCTTGTCAGCATCCATTGCTTCCAGTCCATCGGGCTGCGGCCGGGACTCAGTGCAATTCCCACTGGGGGCAGACAGGGGAGACAGAAGACAGGGCTGTTATTGTGGAGCTACTCGCCGGTGCTGCTCTGCTCTGCGCTGCTCCGCCGTGGGTCGGCACTCTGCCCGGCCATTTCTTCTGCTTGTGCTTTCTTTAAACTCCCTTTCCATCGCATTAAACAGACAAATAAAGAGCTTGACAGCCACATGTTTAAAGGCACATTTGCCGCAGGACAAAGCTGTACAGAGACTCACAGAAATAAGCTTATGGTCACGCGTATACAAGCGGACAAATGTATAATCTCACATACACACCATCACATAAATAGTGACATTCAGATTTGTACCCAAATACACCAGCACACACACACACACACACATGTTCTTAGAGGCATTGTTGATACAACATTTTAAGCGATAATAGGCAGGCATTTTATAAACAAATTTTCATATCCATATTTCATTTTCATTTTCCCTCTCTCTCACATACACACCAGATGTATACAGATTCAACAGATAATGAAAGCCTCCTTCAAACATGAAAACTGCTATGTGACTCAACAGTTTTTAATGACTGATTACATTTTGTCAATACAACCTTAATGTTTCTATTCTGGAACTACTATCTCTGTACCACAGAATAACTTAGTTTGACAGATATTCATAAGTATAGCAGCCATGACTTCAGGCTACAATTACCCACATAAAGGTTTTGTAGAAAATGAGTACTAAATTAGCTTTTGATTTCTGTTCTCTGTTCATTTTTAATTTGCACTATATTTTTGCTCCACTACTTCTGTTTTTTTTTAAGCTAAATCATTAGTTGCAGTTCATCGGCTGACTGACAGATTGACGGAAATGGCTCCCTGCTTTCAGACTGCAGAGACAAAAGCAGCCTGGTTTGCCAGAAGAAAAAAAAAAATTGCTGTGCTTCAGAATTACCCAAAACTGTCCTTGCATATCTCAGCTGTAACTAGAGGTGCATAAAAGAAAATAAATAATGGAAAAAAAGAATTAAATATAAGAAATAATAAGCATAAAAGGATGAAACAGAAAAGCACATAATGGAAAACCGGAATAAAATACCCAATAGATACGTACTAATTTGCGAGATTTATGAGTTACCCCTTCAAAAAGAGGCTGCACAAACTCACAGCTGAGACTCCAGTCCCTCCCAAGCCTCAGGTTTCCAGCAGCTGTGCTGATCTGGGGAGCCCCCTAATGGCTCGATTCGACTGCGCTTGGGGTGATGTGGCGTTACTGCGTCTGGTCCTCTTGCCGTCATCTGTTGTAAGAAACACTCGTTTGATTATTTGTATTCAGGTCTGATTTACTGCCTTTCATGTCCGGTGTGCTTAGACTTCCCCAAAATAAAGCGCTCCTTAAGAAAAAGGGGGCACGGGTGTCAGTGTCAAGGCAGGATTGCACCACTGTTTTAACCATGAGCAATCTGACTGAACACAACTGCAGAATTTTGTGAATTAAAAACCGAGACTGGAAATAGGGGCAATCTAAAGGGCAGGTAAGATGAGCAGAATGGGAAAGTTCAGGTTCAGGAAGTGCAAATCCAGACCAAAACTTTGTTTCGACCAACCAGTTGAGGATAAAGAGTCAGTCACAGAGTACTCAACTGGTTGGTTGAAACAAAATCTTGGTCTGGATTTGTACTTTCTGGATATGAACTTTCCCCCACTGAAGATGAGATACACTTTATTGATCTCAGGGGGAAATCCCCAGGTACTCTGAACAGGCAAGTACTCACTGGTATCTTGTCCACAGGCCTCTTTGCTAAAGGAGACATGACAGGGTAGTTATTGTATCACATGCAGCTCCGCAAGCAGCTCATTAAGGTGTAGAAATTCACAGGTCAAGAATGTGGAGACACCTGCATGCAGGCGTGGGGCTTCTCGCTCTTCCAGGAACAAGGTGAGAAGGAAGGGGTAAGCGGGTGCCCTCAGGCCAGTGTGCCGGGAGCAGAGGCGACAGACCTTCTCCCACTTACTCTTGTCTGTTCATGTGGCAGTTAAGAAAAACCTCCCACACGGCATTATCGCCAATGCTACACAGAAAAAGATCACAGTCTCTGTCGAAATGGACAGGAACTTGTCACTCAGAGGCAAGTATAAAACTGTGGTAGGTCAGAGCGTGGCGGCAGATTATAAAACATCTGAAATGTTAAGTACAGTCATTAGGTTCCCATGATGAAACTTTTTTTATGGTGAGCAATTCAACTGAAATTATACCGAAACAACATTCTTTGACTGATACTCTCCCCCCACCCCGAGACCCTGACCCAGATTAACCGTTTAGAGCAGTTTTTTCCAACCCAGTCCTCAGACACACACACACAGTTGATGGTTTTGCTCCTTCTGGGAGCTGAAAGGGAGCAAAAACATGTGACTGTCTGTGGGTCTCTGAGGACTGGGTTGGGAAACACTGGTTTAGAGGACATTCACCCAGTGAGGTGACTAACACTACACAGGACTGTTAAACAGACACCCAGCAAGCAACCACACTCAGTTCCTACATAAAACACTATCATTTATTGATAAATATTCAGTTAATAGCAGCAATGTAATTCTTTATTGACCATAGGAGACTAATGAGTTTCTTATATTCTCAAATAATTAGTGAGAATGGTTCTGAAAAAAGGAACAGCCTGCACATGTTTTTCAGCAGTGGTCTGACAGAACGCTGTCAAGGCCTTTCTGCTTTAGAGAGCTTTTGCAATGCTGTCATCATTAGTAAGGTTAACTGTATTCTGAAAGCATACAGGGGAAGACATTAAAATGGTTTGTTGTAAAGGGCTGAAGGTGATCCAGGTTTTCCAGCACAACCCGAATAGCATCCTAAAATAAAATAAGAATCATGAATCAACAGCTCTGCACCAGTATTGTAACAGGCGTAGACAAGGAAGTCCTACTGGGTTAAAGCATACTGCAACTATGCAAAAATAAAAATTATGATTCAGCATTTCAGACTAATGACAATAGCATTGAATGTAAAAACTAATAATGACTCTTTATAAAAAGAGTCATTTTACAGACATTTTACAAGAGTTTATTTTACCTCAATTTCTTGTGTGGCTTGATTCTTGTTGACCTTCTGATTTGCCCTGTTAATTACAAGAGCCAACATCTGACCTAATATACTGCTGTATACATGACGTCTTGCATGTTTTAGGAACTAACAATCAAGCCACAATAGTAGGTGGGGAGCCGCGCTACCTGCAGCTGGTCCTGATCCTGAATTTGTAGACTCGACATCCTGCCAGGAACAATCGGGTCTCAGGAAGAGGGAAGGCGAAGGGTTTAATGGACATGGTGCATCTCGCCAGACCACAGCTTAGCTACCTACTATAGCAACACAGCACAAGGGCAAGCCCGCTAAAACAACACGGGAATAAAGGACTTTCCTGTGACAAGTTTTAGCCCAGGCACAACATAATTAAGATATGCAGGGCAAAAGGCACTAGTGCTTACTTAGCTATCAACTTTAAACCTAGCTATAGTTTGCAAACATACAATCATCTTCCATAACCAGATATCAAGAGGTGGCTACTTATTAAGGAATCGTAAAACTTTAGTAAGTTTAACCAGACTGTGTGTCAATCTATTTAACTTTGGCTTATTTAGCTTTTAAATTCTTTCTGGGCATTCAATTCAAAGACGCCGTTTTATGGAGCAAAGTTTATGTACTTCAGTTCATATTCTTTTTGGCTCTTGGGTCCTCGACACTCATTATAGAAGCACTGTTTTACTGTTGATGGTGAAGTACAAATAATCTATCTAATTTGCAGACTTATCTACGAGATTTTAAAATATATATATTTTGTTTATAGATGGGATCAGACGAGGTGCCTAACTTTGGCGCCCATTAGCTCGCGCTCGCCAAAGAAAGCTGCTTGGTGTTTAGTGGCTGCTTGGTTTTCGTGGCATTCTTTTGTTGATACCTCACACCGCCTAAACATAAAAGTAATTATTTATTATGTGCACTGGTCTATTATTTCCAAACCGTTAGCACGTCTATAACAGGGACAGACCATATACGTAAATCCTCACCGCACCCTTAACGAACCGCGAGTTTGTTTACCGTAATGCAGCAAATACTGGGTCCGCTAATTTAACACGGGCAGACGAGCGGCGAGACAAACAGTTAAAATATACAATTGGTTATGACTCAACATCATTTCCTGCCTATAGGGTCCCGGCGTCCACGAGCTTACATAAAAAAATACTATTGGCCATCAAGACAGCCATTTAGAGAGCTTTGCTCTGCTGTCTCTATGGTGACGACGATTAGGAGAGCCATGCGGTGTGTCACATGGTAAAGGTCATATTATTCGCACGGGAACGACTATACGCAATAGGAAACTGAGATAAACAGCCCACTCCACAGTGACAGTGGTCTTAAATTGATAAACAACTGATTAGCAAATGTTTATGTCTGTTTATTTCTAAATAATAGTAAAAGATATTCTTTAATAATTTTAAAACTATGTCTTCTGCATTTGTTCGTGTACCATGGTAGGAAGTTTGATGTAGCGTGACCTCGAGTACTGTAGATGTTGGGATAAATCAAAGATACTTGTAGCAAGATACTTCTGACCTTTACAGGTAAGTTATTCACCTAAGTCATGGGTTTTTTTTTTTTTTTTTAATAATTTAATAATCAAGGCTGTACAGTACTCGCGTTTTGTTTTGGTAATTTTTAAAAATAAGAAATTAAAATACTAGTATGGTTTATAGAATGGTTTGCTGAGTTTTTTGTGGAAAAAAAAAAGTTTTATGTATTTTATGCAGTTCTAGAGTTCCGTATGTTACCCCCCTTAAAAACCGAAACAAAAGGCAAGCGCCGCAAAGCCCTGGTAAAGTGGCATGTACAAAACATGACGTGTCCACATACCATCTCATATCAGTGTCACAGTGACCCTGCCGTTGTCGTGGTGCTATCTTGTTCTAACTGTATTGGTTTTGAACACACACTTCAAAATCTGGAAGTAATTCGTCCTGAATCTATCTAGCTTTTATATAAATGATTCTAAAAAGTAGGGTTTCACTGTTTTGGGAATATTTTTGTGCTCTGCAGACTAAGATCAGTGGGATATACCCGATATTTTTGTTTATGTTTCCTTGGCACAGTGATTCTCTATTTCCTGTGTGGTCGTCATGTCCCAGCCGTCCATCTCGCTGAACACAGGGGCACAGATGCCTCTGCTGGGCCTGGGCACTTTCCGGCTGCGCGGCTCGGAGGAGGTCCACCGGGCTGTGGATGCGGCGCTCGCTGCCGGCTACCGTGCTTTTGACACGGCGACTGTGTACCGAAACGAGGCTGACCTGGGCCGTGCACTGCGTGAGCTGCTGCCCAAGTACAGGCTAACACGGGGTGACATATTTCTCACTAGCAAGCTGGGACCCCGAGATCAGGGTCCCAGCGCTAGAGAGGCGTGTCTACAAAGCCTCATGCAGCTCGGGTTCGAGTACATCGACCTGTACCTGATCCACTGGCCGGGTACTCAGGGGCTGGCCGTGGGCGATGGCCATAATATGAAGAATCGCACCCAGAGCTGGAGGGTGCTTGAGGAGTTCCATGCCAGTGGGCATTTCCGTGCCATCGGAGTGTCGAATTATACCCCAAAGCACTTGCAGGGGCTTCTCCAAGCCTGCAGGGTGCCCCCTGCTGTCCTCCAAGTAGAGTTTCACCCTAAGTTGGCCCAGAAAGAGCTCAGGGAGTTGTGTGGGAATGCTGGCATCTGCTTTCAGGCCTACTCCTCCCTCGGGACAGGGACCCTAGTGACGGAGCCAGTGGTTTTGTCTGTGGCCGACGGGTGCAGACACAGCCCTGCGCAGGTGCTGCTTCGATGGGCAGTGCAGCAGGGTGTGCCCGTGCTGCCCAAATCCTCACGGCCAGAGAAGCTGCTGGAAAACGCACAGATCTTTGACTTTGAGCTGAGCGAAACGGAGATGAGGAGACTGTCTGACCTCGACTGTGGGTTGAAATACTGCTGGGACCCTTCATCTGTGGTGTAGGATTGTAGCAAGGGCTGCTCTTTGCTCTTTAGGAAGATCTAGTGGTGGCTTATTCCCCTATTTGGGTGTGCAGCCTCAAGACAGGTTTACAACCTTTTGACACAGAAGCAAGCCTTTTTTTTGGTATTCAGTTGCTGCCTGTATCCAAAAACTAGTTTTGCGGACCAAAGTTTAAGTACCTCAGTCTGAATTCTTCTTGACTCTACAGAAGCACTGTTTTACTGTTGATGCTGAAGTACAGAAATACATGGGTACATACTTGAAAGTAGTCTATTGTTTGTGGGAAAAACACTAATCACAAAGTAAACATTTTTGTACAATCAGGATCTGAAAATGCAAAGCCATTTTGTATTTTTTAAAAGTGGAAATAAAGGCAGTTCTTCAGCTTATTTCACAGATGGTGTCTGTTTAAAATTTCAACAGTGCATGATTCTTCTCATATAAAAAGGAGACCTTTACATTGAGCTGTGCCTTGTGCAGGGAGCGTCAGACTGAATTAGATGAGCACAGAGTCTGCCTTAAAGGCCTGTGGCTGGCATAATATTATAAACAGAACTAAAAACACAAAGAATATTGTGGTCAGTGGCAACTTTGCGGTACAACCTTTTCACCTACTTGAATGTGCTACATTTTAAAGGAAAAACTGCAGAAAGAGAGATTGTATACATTTCAGTTAAAATTGCTTTATTTAACCATACATTAGTTATCCAGGAAAAAAAAACATTTACAAAATTTTAAAAAGCAAACAATATTCAAAGGTCTGAGTGCCATACACTCAATTTCAAGTAATACCAGCAATCCATCACAGAGCACTTAATTGATTGTATGAGATTTCTTCCCCCACCTGTAATCTGCTCTTATCCTTTAAGGAAACTAACAGTAATGGTGCTTCCCATGCTTACACAATAGTGGTTTATCACATTTTGATGCTACACTCAAAATCTGGAGGGGGAACAGCATGTATCTGCTGATTGAAGTCTGGCTTCTTAAAGGCAATTATTCACTTGTCTAGCCTGCACTTTTCCCACGTTAAACATATTTATTCAAATAGTGCCAAGAGTAGCTAGGCTATATGCATCAGAAGGCACATCAGAACGAGCAATGTTGAGACACCCATGCCTTGCATTTCTGGAAAGGTTCGGCGTAAAATGTCAATTCATCCGTAGATTGTATTTCAGACGTCAACACGACATAAGTCACGCAATTCCAACATATCATCTGATGTATGTTTAACACAGCCTGCCGGTGACCCTTGTATCATTTTTGTTAAGGGACAATCGACGTGGCATAAACAGCCTTTAATAAAGAAAAAATCCTAAATTCAGGATTAGGATCAGAAGAAAAAGAAACAGGCTTTGTTCCCATCTAAAGGCAAATAAGCGTTTGTGAATACTTCATTTTATATTAATATCTGAAGGGAAAAAAAATCTTTTTACAAAGAACACCACATTTGCTAAGCATCATTGCTATAGAAATGTATCATCTGAAGTCGTACATCTATGCATATGGAGAAAATAAGACACAGGCATACACAGAAGTCACATTTTCATTACAGTAGGTTTCAGTTTCTTATATCAATCATTAAAAATATCAACAATTTATTTACAAGATCTAAACGTTGATCTTCGATAGTGTACTGAATTTTAATCTGGGCATTTTCCCCAAAAGGATCTTATTTTCCTGAAGGTGAAGTTTTTTTTTGACATCATTTTCGTATAAAAAGGTAGGAATGTTAGCAACCTCATCTGATTACTACTGTAAAGATTGTCACTTTAATGATTGTGCTTCTATTCATTTTAAAGCATCTTTTTTTTTCTTCTAAAAATATATATATTTTAGTTATGCCGTGAGTAAAAAGGCAGGAACTGTAATGAACACAGTTCCACCGTGGCTAATCCGTGTCTCTTTTCTTCCGTTACATGTGTAACTCTTTCTCTCTTGCATAGCTTTTGTTTAATGCAGAGCAGAATAATCAGTGGATGGTAAACAAGCATGCTGATCTCCTGCCCTATTCCCGTTCTGTGGCACACTAAATATCAGCTGGAGGTTGGTTGTTGTCATTGGTTGCACTTGGAATCTACATACAGTTGGCCATCTGCCCCCCCACCCTCACTCCCACCCCACCTTGCTCACTGTGCAGCTCTGCTGTCGGCGGTCGACAAGCTTCCGCTGATCTCCGCGTCGCTCTCCTTGTGGCTCCAGAGAAAGGCGAACCAGCTGGGGGACGCCTGCATCTGTCGGGCAGCCCCGGCACTGCGCACCCTCTTCATCTGCTTAGGGAGGCAGAGAAACACCCAGGATTTCACTCAAGTGCCTTTCCAGCCTCGACTCCCAGAACAAAGATGCTTCGTGTCGGCTATCGGCTAATCGCCGCACAGCGACATCTGCTGTCGGCTGGGTGACCGCAGGCCGGTGGCTGAAGAGCGCTTTGCCTAAAAGGGTGTTAAGTGGCTCGGCAAAGCCCGCGGCCGGCGCGGCGTCAAGGAGCAGATGGCTGACTGAGCACACATTTGGAGGTGCGCACCTCCCGATTCTGCGTGGGCTCAATGTAGTGATGGGGACACCTATGATCAATGTCATGGCGGGCCGATCCAAATGGAAAAAAAGGTAAAAACTGAGGGAAAAGGGAAGTACTCAAGTCTTACCCCTTTGTCCAGCAGGGTGTCAAACTCGTCACTCATACGCCGCAGCTGTCGTCCATACCGCTGTGCTGCCCACAGCGCGGGCGGGGCTGACCGCGAGCGTCCTCGAAAAGGAGTGCCATCCCCGGGGCACACGCCTCCGCCCTCCTCAGATGCACCTCCTTCACCAAAATCGAGATCCTCGCTTCGAATCGAAGAAACCTGGGATTCGGACCGCATCCGTACACGACCTCCAGCCTCTCCTAGGGACAGAACAAAGAAACATTCTGTCAAACAACAACTCTCTCATTTTCAATGGTTGTCTGGCAGAATCTTACTACTTTTTCTTTCTTAAATGGAATTGCTCTTGTCTGAAGAATCCACGGTGGTGAAATTGGGTACAGTTTGGTTTTAGAAACTAGTCAGGCGACTGGTTGTGTTTCTTAAAGAACTTTCCAAGCACACAGAGTACAGTTAAGTTTTGTACACAAATATTGGATCTCTGCTGTGCCTCACCTGGATTTTTCGTATTTTTGAGGTTATTTCCAAGCTGTGAATTTGCTGTGACATCTGGTGTGTCGGATTCAGAAGTGTCCGACTCATTGCCGGAGATGGTAAACATGTGCGCCATGGTGACACCTAAGGACAGGCAGAGAAAGGGGCAGCCACTGAGCAGGAGCTGGTGAACCCGTAAGAAGTAATACTGCAGTGACAGCTGAGTTGGTTACATCACTAAAAATAATCTGGAGGAAATCTATCATGAGTGAAAATTTGCAGTCTGAGAAAAATGACGATCATGACATATCAAGTCTGATCATGATTCAAAGTATGAGATACTTAAGAATTTTACACTACATAGCAGAAACATCTATTCCTGGTCCTGCGGCAAGTTGTGTGTATAAAACATAAAAAAAGATCACTTCATTTGTTGTGTACTAGCTTTTGAATCACAGCGGTTTCATGAAGTAAAGAGCCTTTGGCCACCAGCTTGTCGTAACACTGAGGATTTCACGGACAATTGTGCATGACAAATAATGTTTCAACAAAACAAAGCAGAGCACAATATATCATGAGCACGGATACTGAAATTAGGCCAAAATGCAACACAATAAAAAACGTGTGTGTACATGCTGGGATGTCATTTTAATTCAGCCCAAATACTAACTACTGGAAACAAATGACCAGTTTTTCTCAACCGCCAACGCTGATTTCTCAGAAAGAAAGCCTAATCCATTGCCCCGGGAATGAAGAGAGTCACCTCAGTGATATACCTGTAGAGATGCATTTCATGTACTTTCTGAGTCTCTCCTTCACTATGGTCACGAATTTATCAAAAGCAAACTATAAACTGAGCAGATTCTGTATTACAGACTAGTGTTTATCAGTGTAAATTATGTAATTTCTGTCTGCCACCCAAAAGTAGTACATTTTATGCTGGAACATAAATAATATATACCGTGCATTGAAATACCTCTCAATTACCAATACATTACCACTGGTCTTAATTTTTATAGTCATATATGACAAAGATTTTTCTGTTGAATAACATCAGTTCAAAGTGACTAGACACTCGGTAAATATCCAGGTGACTACAGGCTGTTGAGCTAATCATATGAAAAAGGTACAGATGGTGGACAGGACACTGAATCCAAATTCCTAAGCACAGCTCACTACAGCACATAAAAAGGAAAATAATTAACATGTAAGCTGGTGAAATTGACTGTATGACATCCAATTATCATCTGATGATATTCAGTCATTATCACCGTGTTAGCTGTCTAAATGCAGTAAATATTTCATCTCCCATCTGGCTGAGCACCTAAGCATCAGATAAACATCTGTAGGTTCTGCAGGAGGAGGACGGAGAGCTGTGTTACAGGTACGCAGTGTATCTTAATCAGCACAGGCACCTCCTGCAGGTACACACATGTTCTGATTCCTAATTGTGTTGCAATTTGCCTTGATTTTCCTGGGACACTCTCCAAACAACCTAGAGGGTTTGACCGTTTTAATCAGTAATGAAAACATAATGACGTAAGAAAATCCTGGCATCTTTAAGCGCTCCCACATACATTTTTTTTTTCCATTTTTAAACGTACGCCATGAACATACATACAGATGTTCAGGTGACGTCATTTGTTGAACCTGCACTTATAGTCCAGACTGTGATCTCAGGCTTAACACCAACTCTGACAATGATCAACTGCCTTTCTGTGGCTGCTCGTTTCCTTTCATCACGTATTGTTCTCTGCTGTAATATAATAGTGCTAATAATGATTGATAAATAGATTCCTGATGTTAATACTGATTAATACCGTCATATGAAGTACAGTGTTACAAGATAAGGTAAAGTTTATTTATCCCACAAAGGGAAATTTGGTATATTCGCTTAAAGGACGCTTCAGATTAGTCCGGACCATTAACGCGCCTTCAGTTAACAGTTGTTGATCTTTCCCGCATTGCAAACGGTTTCATTCTCTGGTTAAGTTTCACGACTTCACCACATTGTGAACGTGCATTTTAAGAAGCTGCCATCTACAACTGGAGATTACTGAATCAGAACACATTAAGAGAGAGCCGGAGGCAATTGTCAGTTTCCGCTCAATAACTTAACGACGATATTTGTTTGTAAAGTTCTGACTTCTCTACCTTACATACTTGACGAGCTCCATCACCCAGTTATTCAAGAGAGACCCCGAGATAGGGGCTAAATACATTTGCTGAATGGTAACTAATCCTCTGAAGTGTGGCATTTGTGGGTTAATTTCTATAG